CATATTAGAAAGGATATTTATATGTAAAATATATATTGAGTATATATTAATGAGTAGGAAGTATAAAAATTAAATATAGAATTGCGAAACGACGAAGTAAGGAAAAATGAATTGATTGTTATATGCTATTTTTGGATTGGGTGGTGATTGCATTGAGATTGGAAAAGAGTGCTTTGAATTAGATTTTAGAAATCAAGGTGAGTAGTTTATTACTTCTTTTAGGAGGATTTTCTATATTAAACTTGTGGGTGCGTGTGTGTGAATTTTTCATATATATGATATATGTTGATGTTTTGGGTTGCAATTAAATATTTTTACAATTGTAAATTGTTACACATGTGAATTTGTAAAACTTATGAAATGATTTTATATTATTACTTAAATGGTTTTGGTGATGAAAGAGATATTTTGTGTGCGATAGGACTAAAACAACAGTTTTAGTGTGTGTGTTGAAATCATGTTTTATGAGAAGGGGACTGGATTACCAGGTCTAAATGGTAACGAGATTGTATATCGGCGTGGTTGGTATAGGGATGTGCACATAGGGGCCAGTTATTAGGCTAGTGATAACAAAAGACGGGACCAGTCATCAAGCTAGTGATAACAAGAGATGAGGTCGGTTACCAGGTTAGTGGTAACAAACATGATTTGACAAGTGTATTTGAGACTGAATGTGTGTGTGAGTGTTTTGAGCTATAAATGTCTTTTTTTTTTATAAAGCTATTATGATCATGAGATCATTTTGTTTACATGGTTATGTGAAAGGGATTGGAGTACAATTTATTGTATTTATGTATGTAACAAAGTTTATTTCTGTGTATATGAAATGTGAGATTTATTTTCAAACCTCATTAGAGGTAGTTGCTACTCACGGGCCTTGTGCTCACCCAAATATTTAACATTTTTCAGGTGAGGATCAGGAGAAGGAGTAAGTCCTCGGATAGACAAAGGATTAGAAGAATCGAAGATTTATTTTATTGTAGGTTTTTAGGAATAAATATTTTTTATAGTTTTGAGACAAGTATTCGATTGTTTTGAGAACAATGTTGTTTTTGCTTAGAGTAGTGAATCTTATGGATTAATTATTGTTTTACATGAGTTTAGTAATAATGTCGGTGATGTTAGTTTATTTCTCTGATATTCATTAGGTCGGTGAAAATGATCACTTTATTATTTGTCTTCCGCTGTATTTTGCATTAATTATACACAGGGATGATTGGTTAAGGCCTTGGTGGCCGGTTCGCTGCTCACCCTATGTGATCCGGGGTGGGGGTGTGACAGGCAAGGTCCCTTGTTCCAGGGTGTCGGACGGAGAGAGTTGACCCTTCCTTAGACTCCTCCATGCCCCCTCGCCCGGACAGTCCCTGACAGAGGTCGTTCCAAGTCAATGGCCTAACCCTCTTGGCTGGAACCTCCAGGAGCTGCCCATTGGCCCTCGGGCGCTTCGAAGCCTTAGAAATTTCTGCTCTACTACTCAGGCGGTATATTAGATCCTCAGGTCCCACTTCCGTGACAGAGGGTTCCTGGGACCGTGGCAAATCTCAAAATCCTCCATCGGAGGATGCAAATTCATCAAGTCGATTTAGGATGTTCACGTTGTCCTCCCTAACTGTCGTAACCGATCCCTGAATTTTTCTATGATCACCTCAGCTAGTTGACAGGCCAACAGGGTGGATTTTTTAGACCCGATACCAATGCTAGTTTGGAGGGTTTACTCCCTAGAATGAACGAAAAGTTCCCTGTTGACATTTTCAATGTGGTCATTCGTTCTTGGAATGGAGGGAGCTAGTAAATCAATATCCCTTTGCTGAGGACCTTTTTCTTTTTGGCAAGTATTCACCATAGTCATTGTTCTTTGGAAAATTTAGTCGAAGTCTCATAGACGGTGCCAAATTTTGGGCAAGGAATTTTGCACAATAGATAAAAAGACAGATCTCTCCTTTGCTGAACTCGTGTTAAAGTTGATGATCTCGTGACAAAGGAAGAACTAAGATGACCCTAAGTAATGGTGATGAATTATTGCAGGGGCTGCTCGGTCGATTTTGGTGGTCACGGGCGGTTTTTGGCACACAGAAAATGGGTTAGAAGGGCGTCAAAGTGTTTTTCGGCGTATTCCCTCTGACGATTAAGTCAGTTCTTTGAGAGAGGGGAAAGAAGAAAACACTGTATTGTGTTTTTGAGGAGTGATTTTACGTACCTTTATTTTACATTTTTTAGAGCTATTTATACCCCAAAAGACTCATCATTACTGATGATCTAGACAGTAGGTAATGCTTAGACATGAGGCAGTACGCCTCCTACTTTGCATGGGGAAGGCCCGATTATTAATTGTTCGGGCTCCCGAGCCTTTAATGCTCTTTCTTTCATTGTAGAGGTATTAAATGCTCGGATACTCGAATATTTAATGCTTCTCCTCTTGGCCTTGAAAGCCATCGTGGGTGTCCCATCAACTGAGGATTCATTAAATGTTTACCTGACACCGCTGTATGTCAGAATGGATATTTTTGTTTATACACCCCCAGCCTGTAGTTCTGCCACGTGTCTAACTCCTCTTGGTGGAGTGTCTTGTTCATTCTGCCATGCTGACCTTATTGGGAAAAGTACCTTCATAATCTCTAGTCTAGTTCTGAGATTGACCAGCTGCCAATCAGTAGTCTTTCCAGGAGCCGTGGACACATGGCAAGACCATAATTTTTAGTAAGTGTCTTTGGAGCTGAGGACACATGGCTACCTTGAAGTGGAGGTACCCTCGAAGCCGAGGACACACATGTCTGTCATAGAACAGGGGTACCTCGACGCCGAGTGCACGTGTTCGTGCCAGAGCAAAAGGGTGACTTCAGAGCTAGGGACATGTGTTTTCATCAGAACAAAAGATGTGCCCTCAATGTCGAGGACACGTGTTGGTGATCTAATCTTTCCTCAAAAGTGTCCCATCAATTTGAAAGAGCTTGGATGAGCAACTTGAGAGACACCCACACAGAGCATGGACCATGGAGAAAAAAAGAAGCAACAAGATTTTGAATTAGCCATTACTGCCACAAGACCAACAATATGCATTTCAATTCTTTCAATTTTTAGAGTAATGCCCTCATAGCCCCTACATATACACATCCTAGTGAAAGGTCCCCCCCCACCACTATTGTAACCCCCCGACAACTCACCTATCAATTACACACCCCTCAATGAAAAACCACCAACACAACAAAATCCTTCGCCTGCCAAGCTGCCACACAACATCCATGACCCTTCCCCCTCCCTCCCGGCGAAACTAAAAAATCCACCCATTTGTCAGACGAAATTAACCACCACCAAGCAACCAGAAAACCCAATCAACCATTGCCGTCGTCAACCCAAGTCGCAGAGCCATTCTCACTACGTTGTATACCTTCACCGACTGAGCAACCATTGATAAATAAAAGAAGAAAGAAGGGTTATTTGGGATTTGTAGGTTATAAATTTGGGAGATTTAGTGTCTTGTATATTTTGTGTGAGTTATATTCATTGTTAAATAATGTCCATCCAGTTTTGCAGAAAAAAAATCATAATTCGTAGAGGTTTAGTGCAATAGTTTAAACTACGAGTAGATTGCGTGCAAATGACTCTAATTATATATATATATATCCTATATTTAAATAATAAATTATTCATAAGAAATTTATATTAAATATATAATTAAATTGAATGATAAATTATGGGTGAAATATTTAATTAATTAATTATTACACACATAATTAATTTATTTTCATATAAAATAAGTTATATAGATATAGATATTGGATGATAAATTATGTGTGGATTAGTCTAAACTCGTGCCGTTTAGGTCAATGATGGATTATATATATGATACTTGTATACAATTTGTACTTTAACTATTATGATTTTTTTTAATTTTTCCTTAAAATTAAAAAATTTAATTAATATAAGTGAGAACGGGAGTGACGACAAATAAGGTGGCAGGGGATTATCATAATAAATATAAATTTTTAGCAACAATTTAGTCGGCATAATATTACTTTTTTTGAAATAAAGTTAATTTTGGAAGGAATTTCATTTTGAGATTTTATTCTTTTATCGAATATCCAATTAATGTAGGTATGAGATTACTACAATTGACCGTGAATTTAAAATAACCACCATTATTGAGAATTGGATATTTATGAGTTAAATTACTGAATAATTGTCTATCAAAAAATGGGACTTCAATGTTTATAAAATGTTATAATGTGGTTATTCCGTTAGTTTTAGAGTGTTTTTGGTATGGCGAAATGAGATGACTTAAAATGTTATTAATCATTTCGTCAGCGTTAATAGGATGACTTTTGACATATATCAACGAAAATTAATGAAAGGATCACATTTTAATACTTTTAATATGACGTAATATGTATAGTTTATTCAATGCAAAAAAAAAAAGAGTAATGTTATATGTATTTAAAAAATAAATTTGATAATCATAATTATTGAATAAATAATAAGTTTCAATAAATACTGAAATTTACAGTATAATTAATAATTATAATTATCAAACTTAATTTTTAAATCTAATGTATAACGAGAATACAATATACAAATTTTAATGACAAAATCTAGCGGTAGGTTACCACAGATGAGAAGGAAAGAGACCGGCCCCATCAACGTGCGTAATCAGAAACAAAAAAGGTATGTGGGACCCACAAACATTAACGTGGGAACGAAGTAATTAACGGTAACAGCGTCAATCTTCTGCGCGTGGACTAGTTTGCCCAGAAAAACTCGCGGAAGCAACGAATCTTTCCTGGCAGGTAGACCCCACAGTCAATCACTTCAACGAGCGTCGTCCTTAACGCTCACCCGAGCTCTACCGCTTCTGATCACTGCTCGGCTCTAAGGTAGAGTACTAAGCGTAAGGAACTCTTTTCCTGCCAAAAAACAAAGCGATTCTATTCACTTTTGAAGAGAGAGAGAGAGAGAGAGTGGAGTGTAGAGTTGGAGGAGAGAGGACGAGCGCAAGAGTATCTGCAATGTCTTACTCATCGTATTCGACGCCATTTGCGTCGTCGTCGTCGTCGTCGTCATCATCTTCGTTGAAGTTCGCGAGCCTTCCTGTGACGGGACTCAGAGATAAAATCGTTGAAAAGATTCAAGAGAATCGCGTCACTCTGATAGTCGGTGAAACTGGTTGCGGTACATTCCTGTTCTTTCTCCGTACTTCTACTTTTTATATTAGTTATTCCGTTCTGTTCAATTGATTGGGCATGTCTTTTGATTGACTCGATTGCTGGGAAAGTGACGCCCATTCTTTTTTTTTTTTTTGGTGTTGGCAATGTGTGGTAGCTTCTTTTTGTGTGGAATATATTCGTTCAGAGGGTTTGATTCTATTCTCATATTTTTACTTTTCTATGAAAAATTGTTCAATACATCAATTCTTTCTGAATTTGGGGGAAATTTCTTTCAATAGGTGATTTTCTGTGAACTTAGAAGTTCATTCACTGTCACCCAGGGATGGGTATTTTTATTTGTTTTTGTTTGCCTTTTCCTTTCCTGTTGTTGGTTTCAATAATTTACGCATATGATTAACTCATTTCTTTTTGGAAAAATCATTCATTTGATACTGAAGGTAAGAGCTCGCAAGTTCCTCAGTTTATACTAGAAGAAAATATGGAACCCATACTATGGTTTTCCTTGATCGTCTTGATTCACCCGTAGGTAATATATATACAATATTATAAACTAAAGTCTGGCTACAGTTATGCGTACAAGCTATAAATATGGCAATTATACCATTGACCAAAACAAAATATACATATTCTAAAAATAGAAGATTAGATATTCTAGTATAATCTTAATACCCCCCTCAAGTTGGAGCATGGAGATCACAAATGCCCAACTTGCCAAGTAGATACAGAAACTTGCGCTTGCCAAGAGCCTTGGTGAAGATGTCGGCAAGCTGATCATCAGTAGACACATTATATGTAGAAATAATACCGTCACGAACGGCATCACGCACATAATGACAATCAACTTCAATATGCTTGGTATGCTCATGGAAGACAGAATTTTGAATGCCGACTGACTATCACAATATAAGCGCATGGCTGGCGAATGTGTGACACCCAAACTCACAAGCAAAGCTTTGAGCCATTTCAATTCTGAAGTGACAGCAGCCATGGAACGATACTCGGCTTCAACAGAAGACCAGGACACCGTATGTTGTTTCTTGGTCTTCGAAGAAATCGGAGAAGTTCCAAGAAACTCAATCCAACCAGTAAGAGACCGTCTAGTCAAAGGACACGTAGCCCAATCTGAATCACACCAACCTGTCAGGGATAACTCACAATCAGTGCGAAGAAGAATGCCTTAACCCGGACACCCTTTTAAGTAGCGAACCGTACGAAGCGCCGCATCCCAATGATCCTGACGAGGGTGTTGCATAAACTGAGCCAAGATATGAACTGTATAAACCAAGTCAGGACGGGTGGAGGTTAAGTAAATGAGACGACCCACAAGTCGTCTATACCTTTCAGGATCGGCGAGCAAAGGGCCTTTGGCGAGAGCCAATGTGTGATTTTGCTCCATGGGAAAGCCAATGGGACGAGACCCCAATAAGCCAGTTTCAGCAATAATATCAAGAGTGTATTTTCGTTGACACAAGAAGATGCCTTCGGAATTACAAGCAACCTCAATACCAAGAAAATACTTCAAGGCACCCAAATCTTTCATATGGAAACACTCGTGCAAATAGGCCTTGAAATGGTCAACAACGGAAGCATCATTACCAGAAATAATGAGATCATCACAAGGACATTAAGTTGTACTGATCCCTGATGTAGAGTAAACAGAGAATAATCTGAATAAGACTGAAGAAAACCATAAGTCTTCAAAGAAGCAGCTGACTTAGCATACCAGCACCGCGGAGCCTGTCGTAGACCATACAAAGACTTCTTGAGACGACACACTAAACCAGGAGTGCGAACTTTGAAACCAGGAGGAAGTTTCATGTAAACTTCTTCATCAAGATCACCATGTAGAAACGCATTATGAACATCCATCTGATGCAAAACCCAATTCTTGACCGCTGCAACTGCTAAGAAGGCACGAACAGTGACCATTTTCGCAACTGGAGCAAAAGTTTCATTATAATCAACCCCTCAACTTGATAATTGTCAAAAATAACCAGACGAGCCTTAAGACGCTCTACTTGCCCATCCGCATGATATTTGATTTTGTATACCCATTTAGAACCAAGAGCCTTTTTATAAGGAGGTAAAACTGCCATTTCCTAGGTGCCATTAGCTTCTAAAGCAGCAATTTCTTTCTACATAGCCTCGTGCCAACCTTCATCTTTCATAGCTTCTTTAAAAGAATGAGGCTCAATACCTTCAGTGATTGCTGCAAGAAAAACACGGTGTCGTGGAGAAAACTTATTACAATTCACATAATGTGCTATATGATAAGGAGTACCTGAGGAGCTAGTAGAAGACGATGAACACTCAGATGGACTCAAAGATTGTACAGTGTGGGTAACAAAGTCATGAAGAAGAACGGAGGGACGCTTATCCCGTAACCCGCGCCCTAAGTCATCGGTGGAGGCAGGAGGAGACAGAAGTGCAGGGGACACATGAGGCGATGTGGGATTCAGCGCAATGTCAGTCCCAATCGCAGGGGCTGCATGATCATCAACCAAAGCAGACTCCAAGTCTTCCAAAAAATCAACATCAATCCCCACATTAGAATCCGGTGGCGACGAGGAATAAACATGCACTTGAGAAGTAGAAGCAGTCTCGTAAGGAAATTCTTTTTCATGAAACTTTACATCTCTGGAAACAAAGATGTCACCTGTCTGAAGGTCATATAACTTCCACCCTTTCTTCCCATGTGGATAACCAATAAAAACACACTTCCTACTTCGAGGAGCAAATTTATTACCTTTGGCCTTTTGATTGTGGGCAAAAGCTAAACAACCAAATACCTTAAGTTCATCAAACTCAGGTGCCTGGCCAAAGAGAATTTCAAAAGGAGTTTTATTGTGGAGTAAACCAGAAAGAGTTCTGTTAATGAGATACATTGCACCAAGCACACATTCTCCCCAAAAAGTAATAGGAAGATTGCCTTGAAACATCAAAGCACGACCCACATTAAGAATATGTTGATGTTTTCGTTCCACACGACCATTTTGTTGAGGAGTCCCAACACAAGAAGTTTAAAAAATAATGCCATGTGTATCAAAATAATCCAACATACATTTAAACTCCATACCATTATCACTCCGTACTAATTTGACATGTGTTTCAAACTGGCGGACAATCATAGCGAAGAATGAACAAAAAACTTGATAAACTTGTGTTTTTGAACGCAATAAATAAACCCATACAGCTCTTGAAAAATCATCCACCAAAGTCAAAAAATAATGTGCTCCACACGAAGAGGGTATCTTATTTGAGCCCCATAAATCACAATGAATAAGTTCAAAGATTCTACTAGCTTTACTATCACTAACAGGAAAACTATCACGTTTTTGCTTTGCTTGAGGACAAACTTTACATGCTTTATTCAATTTCTTTCTAGAAGTACTGGAAGAAATAGCCGGAACTAACTTGACGACTCTATCTGACAGATGCCCCAGACGACGATGCCATAACTCAAAATCTGAAATCTCTGGAACTGTTACCGCACACACTGTAGAAATCCGCTGAAAATAATAGAGTCCATCTTTACGTTCACTGGCTCCAATCAAACTCCTCGAGCGTAGGTCCTGTATAGCACATAATGAATCAGTGAATTGTAAAAGACATTTAGAATCATCAATTAATTGTGACACTGAGATTAAGTTGCAATGTAACTGTGGTACAAATAAAACATGTTCAAGTATCAACCCATCAGTTACCAAAACGTGGCCAGCCTTAGTAGCAATGACATGTGCGCCGTTAGGTAACCCAACTGAACATTGCGAAATATGATGAGTGTCCGTCAAACATGATTCAGTGCCAGTAACATGGTGAGAAGCACCAGTATCAATAATCCAAGAAAAAGAAGAGAACTCACCCATCATCTGATCATGCTGGCGATTATTTATCATATTCAATAAAATCTAAACCTGCTTCGGTTTTAAGTCAGGCAAAGAAATGCCAGAGGACCCATGAGAGGAGGCCACTGAATCGGTCCTCCCACCAGCCACAGCATTGGCAGCCACGACCGTGGCGGCCACGGCTTTGGGCCGACCACGAGGAGCAGTCGGAGGAGCCGCAGGAGGTGGTTGTGCATTGGGCTGTGCACTGCCTTGGACTCCACGGTTCCGATCTTCCCACCAATCCGGATATCCATGCGTTTTGAAACAAGTATTGTCATCATGACCCGATCGCTTACAAATAGAACAATACAATTTTGATTTATCGGGACGGGTAAAACAAGCCTTGGGTCATGCAGTTTGTAGAGCAAACACATGGATTTCCTCCTTGTCCACTCTATCTCGAGCAATACCCCGAGACTTTTCTTCTTGAAGACATGCTTGATACACATGATCGAGATCAGGTAAAGGAGAAGTGGACAACAAATTAGAACGTACCGTTGCATATAACTCATCGTTAATGCCAATGAGAAATTGATGGAGTTTCTCCTCCTCCCGATCTGTAGCTAATCGACCAGCAACATCACAAGTACAATTACCACAGGCACACGCATGGAGAGGCTTGAGACGATCCAATTCATCATACAATCCCATCAAACGGGTATAATAATCATCAATAGACATATTCGAAGTTTGCTTACAGTTGGTAATATCGGCGCTCAATTGTTGAAGACGAGGACCATTAGCCACGCAAAAACGCTTCTCAAGATAATCCCAAAGTTGTTTGGCTTCATCATGAAAAGGAATGGAGGCCGCCAATTTTGGATCAAGAGTCCGCGTGATCCATGAGACAAGCATAGAATTGACAGTGTCCCAATCGAGTTGTTTCTTCTTCTCCGTCGGTTTGGTGAATGTCCCATCAACAAACACAAACTTTCGGCGAGCTTTCAAAGACAACTTAATTGCACGTGCCCATGCAATATAATTGTCATTAGAGAGGATCACGTGGGTGATCATATTCCCGGGTTGATCTCCAGACCCAAGATAATAGGAAGAGTGGGGATCTATTTTCCCATCGTCGGCCATAATGAGAAGAATCTGAGAGAGAGGCTAATTATGATGGTTGAAGAAATCATAGAAAAAAAATGGGGGTAAGAGCTTGCTAGGCTGCTAGGGCTCTGATACCATGAAAGAATTGGTTTTCCTTGATCTTCCCGTAGGTAATATATATACAATATTACAAACTAAAGTCTGGCTACAGTTATGCGTACAAGCTATAAATATGGCTATAATATGGCAATTATACCATTGACCAAAACAGAATATACATATTCTAAAAATAGAAGATTAGATATTCTAGTATAATCTTAATAAATAGGTGATTTTCTGTGAACTTAGAAGTTCATTCACTGTCACCCAGGGATGGGTATTTTTATTTGTTTTTGTTTGCCTTTTCCTTTCCTGTTGTTGGTTTCAATAATTTACGCATATGATTAACTTATTTCTTTTTGGAAAAATCATTCGTTTGATACTGAAGGTAAGAGCTCGCAAGTTCCTCAGTTTCTACTAGAAGAAAATATGGAACCCATACTATGTACTCAACCCAGAAGATTTGCTGTGGTAGCAATTGCTAGAATGGTGGCTAAAGCTCGTAATTGTGAAGTAGGAGGCGAGGTTGGATACCACATAGGTCATTCAAGGGTCTTCTCAACAAGGTCTGTAGTCAATTTACCCATAAAATCTTTGTCCATGTATTAGTTTAAGCTTCACATTATGAATTTCCAAATGGGTGACTTTAGCTGCATCGAATTTAAGTTGCCTCAATATGCGCTGTGATTGTCAGGTCTTTATGGCCCGAAACTTGGCTCATTACTGCTTATTACTTGTGTGTTTACTGTATACTCTGTTTGAGGAAGTAATAGAAATTGAGCAATGCTATTGGGACTTAATTCACTGACCTAATTTGCTGACCTAATTCACTATGACCTTTGGAGTAACTATAGGGTCCATCAAACATTGGAACTTGGTATTGATCCAATGACTCTATTGAAATCACATCATTATGTCAGCAAATTAGGTCAGATTTTTAAGTCTAAATAGTATTACTCAGAGAAATTTTCCACTATTGAACAAGCGCTTGAAATTATCTACTTTTCGTCTGCAGTGTAAAATAGGTTTATGCTCCAAGCGCATAGGGACATCTATTGATCGTCACTTGATCAAATGCATGGCTTGTAATTTATTTTCATGATTTAAACAACAATTGTGCGATGTATTTACTAATGTCCATTTTCTAATTTTTTTTTTAGATTCATAACAATAACATCCTATAGTAATATACTACAGTATGCCAAAGATCCAGAGCAAAAATTGAAAATGCTAAAATGTTTCTCAAGGGTTCTGGTACCTTAGTAGCCTCATTGCCTAAAAATGCCACCTCTTGACATTTTTGTAAAAATCTTGTAAATTATTGAAAAGCCACTCCCTTAGTAGCAAAATCATATCTAAGTTGTTGACGTTTGGCATTATGACCTCTAATTAAGATAAATCTGGCATGGAATGCTAGAGCTTGAAATGAATTTCGACATATCTGTATGTCTGTTTCTGTAGCATGACAATAGTTTTTAAGATTGGACTTTTTTCTATGTACATGCTGTTGTAGTGTTTTCCATGGTATTGACATTTTATTTCTTCCTTCCTTCCTCTTCCGCATATGAATTAGGAAGCCGAGAGATGTGAACATGAGCTTTTAAGTCTCCACACCTTTGAAAGGTAGATCCCTTGGATGTCGCTGCAGTGGGTGCAGTCGTTTGAAGCACCTTCTTGTGTGTGTGTATTTTGTAAAAGAAAAAAGATAAAAGGAAAAGATGGCCACAAATGTACACCACTTACTTTGTTCAAGTGAAGCTGTTTTCAGGAGATTAACTAGGTTCTATGCACTCAGATAGGACTGTTATTGCGGTAGTTGCAACTTGCAGGAGTTTCCACAATCAGTCTAATAATGATTTTGGAAATTTTCTACAATCAAGCTATAATATGATCTTAGGAATAATCTCTCTCTCTCTCTCTCTCCAGGTTGCTTTTATTCTCCTTATCTTTGAAATAATTTTATTCAGGTTTGAGTTTTCTATTCTTTTGTGCTCTTATTCCCCTGTTAATTCCTCATTGTGAATTTGTATGCAGATCAAAGATTGTTTTTAAAACTGCTGGAGTTTTGTTGGATGAAATGCGAGAGAAGGGGTTGAATGCACTCAAATACAAGGTTATTATTCTTGATGAAGTGCATGAAAGATCTGTAGAGTCGGATCTTGTTCTTGTTTGTGTGAAGCAATTTTTGCTGAAAAACAGTGACTTAAGGTTAACATGTCTTCCTTAATCATTTGTCCTGTTAAATGTGATTGATATTTCTCATTGTCACACGTTGAAGTTTTCACATTGTTATGTCTGATGGTAATATACACGGACACCTTAACCTATGCATGACATGCATCCTGTACTGATTAGGGCTGTGGTAGGTTATTGGTTAAGGTTCTAACAGATGTTGTGATGTTCAGGATAGTATTGATGTCTGCGACTGCTGATATTGCAAGATACCGGGAGTACTTCAGGGAGCTTGGTAGGGGTGAAAGGGTAGAAGTGGTGGCCATTTCCAGCTCTGGCCAGCACACCATATTTGAGCGAAGAGTTTCATATCTTGAACAGGTATCATACTCTATACTGTATTCGGCCGAAATTGCTCTTCCATATCAAATGAAAACTTGGTAATTAAATGCTTCATTCTCTGTCCTTGTCTAGTTTCAATTCTTGTATTGGTTTGAAGCAAAATGAAAACATTCTTAAAGTGTTCCTAAACTAATGATATGAATCTTTGTAACATATTTTGTTGGTCTTTGATTGGGTTTACCAGTATGATTGCGCACTGGATGCCAATTAAGCATATAATCAGAAATAGTGAATTAAATGTGTTAACAATAATTACTGTTTGTGCTACCCTTGATTACGTCTTATTGATTATATTTCTGGACAAATAGACAACTGGAAGTCCTCTGAAAGTTTGGGACAGTCAAATGAAAATGTCATGAAGATACATATTTGTTCAAGATCTTTTAGATATAGCTATGAGATTTTTATTTACTTCTAGATTATTTATCTATGATCAATTTTCTTCGTGGCGGTAGATATTGTTGTCTCATCTTTCAAGCAAATATTGGAACATACTTTTCCAGTGGGATACATATGTTTGAGGTTCATTCTAGTAGAGCTATACTAAATTTATATGATTGCTCAATTTGGAACCCCTTGATCGACATGCGACCTGCCAATGCTCTTGAGCACTTTTGTTGCTATTGTTCTTCTGTTTTGAGTTGTGGGCATTTTGTGTTAGATTTTTGTTCTCCAGCCCTTTATAACATGATACATATTTCATAACATTCTCTTCCACAACTCAACTCAATAAATCCTTGTTCCAACTACTTGGTGTCAACTACATACGCATTATTTTGGCAATTAAATTGTCTAGGACCCTGTCCTTGGGCAAAGCAGTGAATCTTAAGTTCATGGAGAGAAAAATTCAAAAGTTGAAGGTTAGTGAATTTAGTGCATTAACACTAAATGCTTGTTAGTTAACAAGTTTAAAGCTTGAATCTGAACAAAGCATACGGGACAGAGGATATTTTCAATTTCTCAATGCAAGTTCATGAATTTCTATTTTCATTTGTCCTTGCCATGTCTATCTTACGATTGATACTGGATTTCTATTCTGGTCAACCTTTGGTTCACAGGTAACTGAAATACTTGGAATGAATTCAAAACAGTTGTCGTCTAGATATTGTTCTGGGCCAAGCCCTTCTATGGCTGATGCTGATATCAAATCTGAAGTGCACAAGCTTATACATGATTTGGTGTTGCACATTCATAAAAATGAACCAGATATTGAAAAAAGCATTTTGGTTTTCCTTCCAACATACTATTCACTGGAGCAACAATGGTTCCTTCTGAAGCCATTTAATGCAACATTCAAAGTTCACATTTTACATAGCAGTATTGACACTGATCAAGCTCTCAATGCTATGAAAATCTGGAAGTCCCATCGTAAGGTAAACCTCTCTTTCAGTTTTTTTTTTTGGGTTTTCCCGTCCTGATGGGAAGAGAGGGGAGGAGGAACAAGGCATGGCTTCTAATGGTTTTGCCAAATTCCTGGTGCTGATTAATTTCTTCATATGCTGATTTGGTTATTATCACGTAATTTTCACATATGCACATTTGTGCCGATTGGTGTGCAATGGAAATTTTTTTTTTTTTTTGGGGGGGTGGTGTGGGGGGTGCATGGTAAACATTGAATGGCCAGTTGAAAGCTTGCCAAGGAGACTCTTAGAAAATCAAGAACAGTATTTCAGTTTATTTGATGTGCCTGTGGAGTTTGACTGCTGCAATGTCCTCTTCTTTTGCCAATCTTTAGCAGCAGTTACTATTCTTTTGATCCTATGGACTGTTGACTATAAATTTCTTTCATCTGGCATGGTTGTGGCTGTCCTTTGAAACATTCATATTTTTACAGGTAATTTTGGCTACAAATATTGCTGAATCCTCGGTGACAATACCCAAAGTTGCCTATGTCATTGATTCGTGTCGTTCTTTGCAAGTTTTTTGGGACAGTAATAGGAAAACGGACTCTGCAGAGCTGGTGTGGGTTTCCAAGTCTCAGGTATTAATTGGAGTTTATCTTTTGATTTCTGGTCTTCTCAAAGAAGATTGTTATGTTCAGAGTTATGTGCTACAGGCTGATCAACGGAGGGGGAGAACAGGCTGGACTTGTGATGGCCAGATATTTCGGTTGGTTACAAGATTGTTCTTCAATCAGCTGCAGGATCACGAGCCTCCAGCGATACTGAGGTTATCATTGAGGCAGCAGGTGCTTCTTCTCTGTTGTTCTGAATCTAAAGCCATTAATGACCCCAAAGGTTGGGCGCTTTTTCCAACTTTTTATGCTTTTTTTTTTTTTGTAATTTGTTGAAGTACTGAATCTCTTTTCACTTGGTTAGCCACTGTTAAGTGTGGAGAATTAACACAATATTAGAGAGAACACAGAGAGGTTAAAAATTTAACCTAGCTCTCATCCATCACTTGTATTTATAGTTAACTCATAATAATAAGAATTACACATACACCTTCTTACTATTAACAATTTACACATACTACCCTAATATTCTTAACATTCCCCCTCAAGCTGGACTATTTATATCATATAATCCAAGTTTGAAACAAATTGCTGTAAAATGTGTATGACTCAATGCTTTGGTAAACATATCTGCAAGCTGATCTTCAGATTTCACAAATGGAGTTGTAATCTTCCCGGTTACTATTTTGTCCTGAATAAAGTGACAATCAACCTCAATATGTTTTGTTCTTTCGTGAAACACCGGATTGACAGTGATATGGATAGCTGTCTAGTTGTCACAGAACAACTGTAAAGGAAGTTGAATTGGAAACCCAATTTCCTAGAGGAAGTGTAGTAGCTAAGTCAACTCACTCGTCGTATGCGCCATTGCCCTATACTCAGCCTCAGCACTGGATCTTACTACCACTTATTTTTTCATGAGACAATGTTACCTCCTAAGAAAGTACAATAACCAGTGGTTGATCTCCGATCAGAAGGAGAGCCAGCCCAATCAGCATCTGAGAAACCTTCCACTCTTAAGATGTCCATTAGCTCGATATAACAGTTCAAGTCCAGGAGCACGTTTGAAATATCGCAAAATACGAGTAACTGCCTCCCAATGTAGTACTCTAGGACACCCCATGAACTGATTTATTATACTGACTGCATAGAAAATATTCGGTCAAGTAATAGTGAGAAAATTGAGCTTCCCAACTAATCTGCAATACCGACCCGGATTCTTAAATAGTGCACCATTATCCTACAAAAGTTTCTGATTCGGATCCATAGGAACATCAATAGGTCTGTCACCCAGCAAACCTGCTTCCTCTAGCATGTCAAGTACATATTTTTTCTGGAATAAACAAATACCCTATTTAAATCGAGCCACCTCAATACTCAAGAAATATCTAAGTTTTTTCAAATCCTTAGTATGAAATCGATCCTGCAAGAATATTTTTAACTTGACAATTCTCCCCAAATCATTTCTAATAATCATAATATCATCTACATAGACCACCAATAGAACATATCCAACATCTGTTTGTCTATGAAACACATAATGATCTGTTTGACATCTAAGAAGACCAAACTCTAAAACTGCATCTGAAAAATTATCAAACTATGCCCTCAGTGACTGTTTCAAACCATACAAAAATTTCTTTAATTGACATACACTCTTACCATACTCTTCCTGAGCAGTAAAGGTGGCTGCTCCATGTATACTTTTTCAACCAAGTTACCATGTAGAAAGGTATTCTTGACTTTTAACTGCAACAAAGGCTAATCAAGATTAGCAGCCAAAGAAATTAAGATACGAACAGAGGAAATTTTGGCAACAGGAGAGAAAGTCTCCTTATAATCAACACCATAAGTCTGAGTAAAGCCCTTTGCAACAAGCAGGGCTTTGAGACGCTCCACAAAACCATCCGGATGAAATTTAACAGTATACACCCAACGACAACCAACAGTTCGTTTACCAGGAGGTAAAAGAACGAGATCTCAAGTCCCATTATGATGTAAGGCATCCATCTCCTCCTCCATAGTTTTCCTCTAACCCGGATTAGATAATACATCTTGTAAATTCTTATGAATAGATATAGTAGATAATTGGGAAGTAAAACAAGAGAAGACAGGAGATAAGGCATCATATGAAACAAAATGTGCAACGGGATGATTATTAACACACGAATGAGTACCTTTTCAAATAGCAATAGGTAAAGAGTCTAAATTACCTGATTTACCAGGATCAGAAGGCGACAAGGAAAACGGTACGGGCACCTTAGTTGATGGTCGAGGACAGTGAGAGTAGACACGGAAAGGTAAAGTAGAGGGTAACACAGTGGGCAGCGGAATATCTAAAGATGAGAAAAAAGATGGTGGTATAAGAGATGACCCAAAGTCTAGATCCAAAGGTTGAGAGGTGCTGAAAAATATAGAACAGATTCCTCAAATGTGATATCGACACTAATAAAGTATTGGCGCAGAGAAGGACTGTAGCAACGATATCCCTTCTGCGTACGGGAGTAACCAAGAAATACACATTTGATAGCTCGAGGGTCAAGTTTGTCAAATTTTGGACCCAAATTGTGAACATAACAGACACATCTAAAAACCTTAAGAGTCAGGAAAAAAGGGGGCTTACCAGGAAAAAAGACAGAATATGGACTTTGTCAATTTGACACAGATGACGACATACGATTAATAAAATGACATGCAGTAAGAACAGCATCACTCCAAAAATATCGGGGAATATTCATCTGGAATAACAAGATACGGGTGACTTCCAACAAATGATGGTTCTTGCGTTCAGCAACACCATTCTGTGGAGAGGTACAAGCACAAGAAGTCTGATGAATAATGTCAGTTTTACTAAGATAAACTGAAAAAGGATCAGATTGATATTCTTGAGCATTATCGGAACGTAAAGTACGTATACGACAACCATACTGAGTTTTTATTTCCTTACGAAAGGTCTCAAATATAGAAAATAATTCAGACCGAGCTTTCATAAAAAACAACCAAGTCACATGAGAATAATCATCCACAAATGTCACAAAATAAGGATATTTATTAGATGAAATATTCTTTATTGGACCCCATACATCAGAATATACTAACTCAAATGGATTAGACACACGATTATTGACTCTAGACTAAAATGACACACGGTAATGCTTACTAAGTTGATAAGCTTCACAAGACAAAGACGACACATAACTAAGACTGAAAATTTGGCGCTTTAGATTCTGGAGAGAGGGATGCCCAAGACGACAATGCCATTGAAAAGAAGATAACGAGGTCTGTAGAGCCCAAGTAGGTGAATCAAAGTCAAAGTAATATAGGCCACCAGCTTTATGTCTCGTACCAATCTTTCTCTTCGTCTTGAGATCCTAAAATACACAATAAGAGGGATAAAAGGTTACACAGCAATTAAGAGAACAAGTAATCTTGCTAATAGAAAGTAAACTAAAAGGAAACTGAGGAACAAATAACACAGAAGATAAGGACATATCAGGACTCGAGTGAGTAGTCCCCAAGCCTGAAACTTTAGAATAAGTATCATTAGCAAGAGTAACACTACGTGTGGAAGTAGCAGACTGATAAGTAAAAAAAATATCAGATGCACCAGTCATGTAATCAGAAGCGCTAGAGTCTATGATCCAGGGACTGCGAGTGGAGGATAATAAACAAGTGAAAGCAGTACCTGACTGGACAAAAGTAGCAGTGGAGGAAGATGGGACAGCTTGTTGCTGGGACAAAAACTGAGCATACTCCTCTCGTGTAATAGTAACCGACCCAGTGTCTGGTGGAGCTGACCGAGGTACGGAAGCAACAACAAAGGTGTAATCCTGATAGGAAGCCTGATTCGTAGCACCAAAAGGTTTTCCATGTAAATCCCAACAGCACTAAACAGTGTGTCCTCCACGACCACAGTGAGTACAAGAACGAGGTCCACTACGACCCCCATGACCACCTGTACGACCTCCCCGACCACCATGACCATCTCGATGACTATCACTATGACTACTAAGAACCACAAGAGCTGAGCGATCAGTGGAGACACTATGATCAATGCTTGCAGTAGAAAAAGTAGCACGTTGTATACGAGAGAAAACTTCAAGTAGTGAAGGAAGACTAGAACCACCCAAAATCTGAGAACAAATAGCCTCATATTCAGGTTTTAATCCTACTAAAAACTTAACAACATTCATGTCCTCATGTTGCTTCTGCCAAACTGCTGCATCAGTAGTAAACGGATGGTAGGTCTTCATCTCCTCACAGACTCCCCGAACATGAGAATAATAATCCTCAATACTCAGAGTACTCTATTCTAGCTGGAAATACTCCTTACACACCTCCTAAGCTCGAGTAAAATTACCTATACCAGAATACATAGTAGTCAAGTAATCCTATATCTCCTTGGCAGTGTCAAGGTAGAGCAGAGTAGAACTAATATTAGGCTCAATGCTATTCAATAGTAAAGAAATAATTTGAGCGTCCTCTTGTTCCCACTGATCATACCCAGGAGTATCTTCCTTAGGTTTAGGACCCACCAAATATTTTTTAAATCCTTTGCCTCAAAAAAAGACTTGAATAGACCGGGACCATAACATATAATTGGTTTCATTGAGTTTAATAGAGGTCAAGGGACCATTAATAAGAGTAGGAGGAGGCAAAGATGGAGTAATGACTCTGGTATCTTGCTTGGGTTCCATAACAGTGCAACAAATAACAAACAAGAAAAGTGTCAAGATGCTGAACCAAAAGAAAACAGGCTGCCGGAAGAAAACAAGCTGAACCAGAAGTGTTACACTGTTGAACTGGACAGGCTAAGCCCTCTGAACCACTAAACGCTGCTGGAAAATAGGCTAAACAGAAGAGTTACACTACTAAACCGGACAGGCTAAGCCATCTGGACCACTGAACCGGGCTGGTTTAACTTGCTGGATCAATGAACCGGACAAATTAGGCATGCTGGACCGCTGAACCGGGGTGAAAACTGACTGAACCGGTGCAAAACTATCTGAACCGAACTACAGACACTCACTGGACCGCTGAACCGGGATTGATTAGGTCTAGGCTGAACCGGGGAGGCTGGACCCGATTTAATTAGGCTGGATTAGGACTGGGTTGGACTGAAGTGGGTCGGGTCTGGACAAGGGTTTGGACCTTTTTTTCTTCGTTCGTTGATTAGGGTTTCAGTGAACCCTTGTCTTGACTACGCCTCACCACCACTACAAGTCTACAAACGGCAGCCCACCACAATAGCCACACCACCACCACAACTCCGGCAACCCTGGTCTTCGATTGAGCCTCACCACTATGACGAATGACAGACGACGGTGAAGAATAGACGATGGCAAACGACAGACGACCACCACAACAGTACCACCACCACCACCATCGCTACACTTCGACAAACACCGACACCACAATAGTACCACCATCACCACCACGATGCTTTGACAAGCAACGGCACCACAAACAGACCACCACCACCACCACGCTTCGACAAACACCAGCACCACCACAGTACCACAAACAGAATTAATTTATTCAGAATATATTTATGATCGTAATCGCTTTGATACCATGTTAAATGTGGAGAATTAATACAATATTAGAGAGAACAGAGAGAGGTTAAAAACTTAACTTAGCTCTCATACATCACTTGTATTTATAGTTAACTCACAATAATAAGAATTACACATACACCCTCTTACTATTAACAATTTACACATACTACCCTAATATTCTTAACAAATACTTTCTATGATAAATACTAGTTCACAGATGAATGTGTTTGTTCATTAACTAAAGTGGACAATGAACTGCCAGCATTTCTCTTTGTACATTTGTTTGAGGAAGTTGGTGAAAGAGGTGCTCCACTTGATTTGGCTGGGTTGAACTGGACCCATGCTCATAATCTGATCAATTATCAGTCTTGGTTAGACGGTTGTTTGAATGATACTTATTTTGAGCTTAGAACCCAACTACAGCCCGTGTTGGTGACATTCATTTTATTGTTCAATCTTTTTATTACAAAACGGAACCTTCACTTTTGAGGTGTCCTCACTAATTTTGCTATCTATATTATTTTTAAGTTCAGTTACTTCTTAGCAGCAATGAATAATTTCTTTTTAAAGCACTTTTTGCAACTTCCACTTGGAAGTGATAGAAAAAAGTTCATGCCAATGGTGTCTGAACCATGAAGCTAAAGTTGAGTGAGACCACTAAAGTTATTATGGGATTGCTTAAAAAATTAGTTATACAACTTGTTCTCAGTCAATTTGGAGATATTGAAGGTTCAAGCATTCTTTACGTCTTTGTTTGATGCATTTTCCAATGCCAAAATAAAAGGGGTCCTAACTTATGTTTTTGCAACTCCCCCCCCCCCAAAAAAAAAAAGTGTTACTGCAGAAGGCTCTGGATCCTCCAGATCCAAAAGTTGTTGAAGATGCATTGAGATTGCTTGTTCACATCCATGCGTTGGAAAAAGCATCTCCCCGGGGGCGCTCTGAGCCGACATTTTATGGACAATTGCTTGCTAGTTTCTCTCTGTCATTTGATGCTTCTGTACTCATACTCAAGTTTGGCGACAAAGGAATGGTCCGGGAAGGCATTCTTATTGGTATATTGATGGATACACAGCCTCTACCCATTGTTCGTCCTTTTGGGCAGGATACTTTGGTATAATTCATTGAATTGATCACCTATAGAATTTTTGGTTTTATTTGGTTTTCAAATAATTGATATTCTAACTTGTCTGTACTTGTTTTAGTTTGCCGAGTACACTGATAGCTACTATAGTGGAGATAGTACCACTACCGGCTTAACTGGTAGAAAGGAGTTGTTATTTATGGGAAACTTTTGTGCTTATCATTTTTGGCAGCGGGTTTTCAAGGTACAACACTAAGTTCTTCCAAACAATTGGTATTATTTGTCTTTTCTAAATTGAATGATATTGTTACCACAATGGCTTCGATGATTGATGCATTTTATTTTCTACTGAAGGATAAGCATCGTCTTGAACGGTTGAAACTGCTTTTCAAGTTTGAGGGGATGAAAGACACACAAAGTATGCTCCCTGGGATCGAAGAAGAATGGTGCTCATTCCACAATCTCGTGCCGTCGTCACTCCACCAAGTTGCTGAAATATGTATGGTTTTTATATGTCATTGTGTCAGAATGGATGATTGATATCTATTAATGCTGATTATGTTCCTTTGCAGACGATGATGTTCTTAAGTCTTTGCATGGGTTTCGTCCCAAATTTCTGGTTACATCTGATGGGTTACCATCTTATTATGATCCTTATGAATTTCAACATATATGCCAACTGAAGTGGGAGCAAAATGAAGACGAAGATGTACGCTCTGCAGATGAGGAGGACCTCGAATCTGTTGATAAAACAACAAAATGTGTTTCCATGCCCTTTGTTGCCGCCAGTCACTTTCAGGCAAATGTGGTTGCTGAAAAGTTGGCATGTATAATCAAAGAGGTATTATATTTTACTTGTCTATGTTTCAAATGCTTGTGAATTTGACATCAAAACTTCTCTCCTTTTTCTTGCCTGAAAAATAGATGAGAATTCAGCATACAGAGGACACATCTGGCAAACAGCATAAATTTGTTAATGATGATGATCTGCATGCCAATGGGGAGGCTTCTATATGTAGATACTTCGTCAATGGATCATGCAACAGGGGCAGCAATTGTTTGTTTTCTCATTCACTTCAAGCAAAAAGACCTGTTTGTAAATTCTTCTTTTCTTTCCAGGTATATTGTTAGTTATTGAAATTATTCTACATCACCGCAAAGTGTTAATCTTATTTTTCCTGGATGTTTAGTAATTAGTGCTAACACCCATGGGACTGCTTTTGAATTTAGAGCTGCCCAATCGGACCAATTATCATCTGAACTCATGGTTGCTGCCAAAGTGATTATATGGTGAGACATAATTAATGAATGTATGGTGTTCAAGAGAGGGGAGTTACATCTCCTAAGATTGTGTTGTTTTGCCTGAAGAAATAGGATAATTTATTGTTGAAAACTTCTTCCGAATGCCTTTTTGTAGGGTGTTTATTTAGAATAAAATTTTGGGAAGTCGACATAAATTTTCATTTAATATAGTAATCTGACCTATCACTCTGTTGCTGTGAATATTTGTCTTAGTAATAGATTATTATAATTGGCAACATGGCTTGAGCAGGGGCGGAGTTAGGAAAAAAATTTAGGGTGACGACATTAGCAAGTTATAATTATTTTTTCAATTGACCGTAAAAGTTCATAGATTTATATTTATGGAAATTATATTTAATACTTAAAAGTTCGGTAAACATGGAAGATTAAAAACCGATATACATAACATAAACAAAAAAAAAAATAATTAAAACGTCTTATTAAGAATGCGGCTAATTATTATCACTTACAATTGACCTTGGTATGTTTTTATTATTTGAAAGAGTTACAAATCAATTTTATCAACAATATTTCATTTATATATAAAATTGCAGTAACAATCTTCTATTTATGATCCTATTGTTTACTACGTAATGGTACACATTGTTATATAATAACGAAATAGCTTTACAATTTTAAAAAATTCTAAAATAACCTCAATATGTTCAAAACATATTTGGACATGTCTGAAACGTGTCTAAAAGTTAACAATAATATTAGTTGTATTTAATTTGAGATTTTATTGGTGGAGACCCAATGGTTTGTGACCAATGGATAGATAAAAAAGTTTATTAAATATTAAGACTCACTATTAGACTTCATATCACAATACATTAGGTCCTTAAATTAGATCTCAATAACATTGTTCGAAAATTTAACAATCATTTAGGTAGAATATGTCTAAATTTTATTTTTAAAATACATATCTAATATGAAGGAAAAAAATTGAGAGGGTGCATGTGCCCACCCTAGCCTAAGGGTGGCTCCACCCCTAGTCTTGAGTATGGTCATTATGATGTTTTATGACTAGAAAAAAAGGTGAATGTAATAGGAGCGGAGCTAGGATTTGCCTAGAGTAGGGGCAACCTAAAACTTAGTAATAACTTAAAATCAAAATGTTAACATTATTTGTTCCAATGTTGATTTTGCTTTTCGAAACTTCCTTGTAACTGAATCAACAATTAACTGTGTAGTTAGACTCATACTTAATACTTTATCGTCGAGTTTTTAACGAACGATTTAGAAGAACCACCAATATTCCAAATAAATAGGATGGATCTGATAGAAATATTGTTTTCAAAAAATCAATCTATCAAATGTTTATTAAACTTAACTTAAATATAGGAACAATTTAATCTATTACAAACAAATTGTTCAAGTTGAATCAATCGGAATAATTTAATCCAAAATCCAATTATAATCTGGAAAAAGTTCAATCCATCACAGAACAAACATACTTAAATTTGGAGCAATCAACGAAAATAAATTAATTTACCACAACCAGAATTTAAGATTCAAACATAGAAATCCAACTCCAAAAAAAAAATCACTAGTAACTATAACTAAGAAAATTCTAGTCTTTCATATAAAACATGGCTTGAGCAACAACCATTAAAACTCATTGCGACTCATGACCAAATTGTAAGTGATTATTGGCGATCTTTAAGACTTAAACCGAATTGTAAGTCTTGAGTTGCCATCGCTGACTGTGGAGGAAGAGAAGAATGGAGGAGTTGAGGAAAATTCAGTTTGTAACCTGTGTATCCTTGCAAAGGGAAGAGAGCATCGTTAGATTGAGTCATATAAGGGAAGTTTAAGTCTATGTATTCAATTTATGAAAGAATCCCACTTGTTTCTAAAAATAAAACTACCCCTAATTTTTTTGCGAACTTTTTAGTGTGGGTAAATTTGGAAATGTATTAGTGTGGGCAAAGGTGGTAGGTAGAACTAGGGAAATAATATTGCTTAGATTGGTAATGGAATCAATAGCTTGCCAAATAGGGATATATATAGGAATAAATAACCTACGGGGTTGGCAGCGGATGCTTGACATATTGTAATTCCAATGAAGGCTTTTGGCACATGGCTGGCTAGTAAAGGCCAACTTCGATTCTAGGCAAAGGTATTCCAGTGTTCCTTTCTTGGTTCCCTATTCAACAGGTCATTCAAATCTCCCCTTGCCATACTTCAACCAGCTGTTTTGAGGACTGCTCTTGTGCTTACTGTTTCTTCCTGTGTTTCCTGACTACTCTCCTTTCCCTTATTGTCACTGCCTTCCTGCTTGATTTTTGTTTTCCTTATCTCATGCAATTAAAGGGAACAAGACTGCAAGCCCAAACTGAGCCCAGCCAGGGAATGCTTACCAATACCAAAGCCGTTCCGTTCATCCCTCTTTCTAGGAGGGACTTTGCTTTACTCTCCTTTAAGAAACCAAGTTTGTGGTTACATAGGTAATAACCGCCTATACAAAGGTTTGTTTGCTGGAATCTTATTCTGTTGGACTCTTTGGGAGGCCTTGATGGTCTAAGATGTTTCAAACTTCTCAATTGTAAGTAAACCACAAAATTTCTTGAAATTGCAGTGGGGGCAGCTGCTCCCCATGCTAGATCCACCCCTGAATGGTGAATATCTGGAATAATTAAGGAAGAAGACCACTTCATGGGAATTCAAAATGAGCCACCACTCTAATACGAGGATAGCGGGAATAAAATTCATTAATCATATGATAATAAAGACATAAAGATGTGCTTCGAACGAATTTAAATAAATAGGAAATGCTAACCTACTGCACAGCTGAAATTGGTTATAGCATTGTAACCTTAATTTTGCTAAAAAGTATCCAAAGTTGTCTTTCCTCCGACCAAACTTTGGAGGGCAGTTCTGCAAATCTACTATTCCCTTCTTCCTCCCAACGTTTACAAATCCTTTTCTCTGTCATTATATTCTCTGTTGCACTCTCTATTTTCTCTCCCCTTGCAGCCGTTGGGGAAGAGACAGTATGTACATAAACCCATTTGTATCATTTGACAGCTATGGTAGGTGTGGATTAGAAAATGAACGGATGGTCTAATCATGTAACGTTAACTGATTTTGTTATCTTTTTGTTAATTGTTTTATTCTCCTTTGGAATACTAAAATACCCTTATTATTGAAGATTCAGGAGGGCTTCAGAGGGGTAGAGTCTAACCAGTTTGGTTCCTTAGTTGGAGGTGCTGGGCAGGGTGAACTGTGTACATACCTATCTTCTGACTTTTTTTGCACATTGTAGTTGCCGGCATATTTTGACCTACAACTTCATGGTTATTAGAATGACACTTTTACCGCAGCATTAGACAATGTTTCTTTTGTGTGAGGTGGTAAAGTTGAAAGGTAAAAAGTTCCCTGGGGAGGACATAGGGAAAAGGCGTAGAAACTAACATCGGACAATTCTTAGCTATACAGGTTATCTTCCAAATAATTTCTTTCTTCAAAGATTTTTGAAATATTAGTACATCCCTTCATGTCCATTTCTTTGATTGTAGGCAAAAAGTTGAAGGTCTTGGTATTTCTGTCATGCTCAAAAATAGAAAATATTATTTCCTGTTCACCAGAACACCATTTCTGAGAATTGTGATTTTCTCCTTAATTTTTAGCTTGGTGCTGCTCTAGTAGTGTAAGTGGCATTATTATGTCTGATCAAGTTGTGTTTGCAGGGATGTCGGAATGGAGACTCATGTTTCTTCTCTCATGATTTGGGTCCATCAGCTTCATCATTTAGTGGGTCAAGTACATGCCTTCCAGAAGATGATGATGCTGACGCCACTTTGCTTCTGCGATTGTTTCCGACATCTCCAAATGGATGTGTCCTTATATTGGATGACCCCGATTTCCATTTCTCTTCTCATCTCTCTTCTCACTATGATCCATCCTCTATAATTTCCACTACTACGGCAGATAGCTCTATATCTGACTCATCACTGATGGGTGTCAGAATTTTGTGGGGCCTTTCTCACCCGTACCAAACAATAATCTCGAGAGGGGGGAGCCTGATTCCATGGAATGAAATTAAATGTGTGTTATGGTTTCCTAGTTTTGATAGTCATGGTGAACATTGGGACAGACAGAAAAATCTTGTGCAAACTTTCTTTGAGTATCTTGCCATTCGGATATTGGCAGATGCCCTAAATGAAGTGCAAGTTATCCTTACAATGAACAATATCCGGTTTTCTCATCTTCAGGTAATATTAAATCATTCTTTATCAAGGTGAGTAGAAGAGCCTCAACCTTTGCCCTATGTGCACTTTCATTGCTTGATTGCATTTAATCTACTTCTTAAATGGGAGAGCTTGTGAACACAGGCAGAGTTACTCATTTATCAAATTTTTATGGTCCATACTAATCTCAGGATGGCTAAAAAGTGTATGATTTTGGTAATCAATCCCCACATAAGTAGGAATTTGATTGCAAAATAGTTTATTTTTTAGACAGAATGGGTTGAATATGCCGTTTCATCATTCTATGCTCTGTTAGTAGTTACTGATGAAGCAACAGTATTTACTTGTTTAGGTGGTTATATTATAGTGCTACAATTGAGAGATTACTCATATTTAATTTTTACATCTCTTGAAGTGTTATCGAGGTTAGTTAATGAATAGACATTTTTACATTTTTCTGCCCCCATAATTTGTTTGGATGGTATATTCATTGTTTTTACATTAGCAGTACAGGCTGTGCCGAGGTTTTTTTTGTGGCACTATTTTGCCAACATCTAGTTATATTAATGAAAAAAACTGCCAATGCTAGCATGGCCATGCCACCTTTTTTTCAAATTAATGATTCATGTGAATGTCTTGTAATGTTGTTTCAGGTAGAAAAGTTGGCCAGAGGTAGCTTCTTCTTCCTTAGAGAGTCATTCCCGTTTGATGAATCAAGCTTTGGTGAGTTGTCTGATGGTATCACTACTAAAAAGCCAATGTTGACATCAAAGCCCATATCATATGTTTTTGAGCTATGCCCGCCTACTGAGATTCAGTTAAGTGATTACACAACTGTTCTTCGCCAGTGTCTACATGACATCCAGTAGAATATGAAGAGTATTTTTTTTCATTCGGGTATTTGTATAGATCGTTTGCATAAAATCATTAGAAGGATCGAATTCAGTTCTCTGTAATTATCCCGAGACATGGTGACTTTGGTTTTCGAGAACCTGGAACAAGAGTAGGCTGATCATGTGTGTTTAAACGGCTGTAATGTTACGGTGATGGCTGCAAATACAGTTAAATAAAACCAGGCATGGAAATCTTTCAGTATGACACTTCGTTGTGTCATTAATGTTATCTTTGTTTTAGCATGTTGCAGGAGATCTATTGATATCTATATAGATGTATTATTTGTACATATTGTCTATAGATCATTTTAAAATGTAGTAATCAATAGGGTTTAATTTATTTGATGAAACTATTTTTTATTTTAAAATGAAATTTAAAAGGTGAGGCAACTTACGAGACTGAAATGGTAGAACAGTAACCTACCATGATAGAAATAGGAACTATACCCAGACCCACCAAGTAATGGTACCTCCTTGTTCCTGCATCTTCAACTGAAATCCGTTGATTTGCAGAAATTTTCAGTTTCAAAACCTAATTTATATCTTTTGTTTTGTTGCAATATCAGTTGTTTTTTGTGTAATATGAAAAAAATGAGAATAAGCGATGGACAAAATAAGATTAAGAGCAAAGTTTAATGGTAAAATAGTTACAAGTTAAAACAGTCATTTTGACAGCGACAACGTAGATTCTCTTGATCATGTGACTGAAAGTTTGGTCCTTGTACCAATGAGCAATTGGTTGAATAAATAAGAACTCGAATTTTTTCACTCATTGCTTAAATTCGAGTTTTCATAGTTACGGTAGCTTGTTGAAGTTAAATTTACTGTTTCGCGCCCAGAACATGCAGTGAGATTTTAATATTGACCACAACGTAAGTGCAACGAAGTTCCCTGATTGTTGTGTAGTGTTGAGGGACAATTCTCCTCGTTTTTGGTGTAATATGAAAAAAATGAGAAAAAGCGATGGACAAAATAAGATTAAAAGCAAAGTTTAATGGTAAAATAGTTACAAGCTAAAACAGGCAGGGATAACGTAGATTTACTTGATCATGTGAATGAAAGTTTGGTCCTTGTACCAATGAGCAATTGGTTGAGTAAATAAGAACTCAAATTTTTTCACTAATTACTTGAATTTGAGTTTTCATAGTTACAGTAGCTTGTTGAAGTTAAATTTACTGTTTCGCGTCCAGAGAATGCAGTGGGATTTTAATATCGACCACAACATAGGTGCAGTGAGGTTCCCTGATTGTTGTGTAGTGTTGAGGGACAATTCTCCTTGACAGATATGTAGAGTAGCCTGTCTACATATCCATTTACAGCACCAAAAAAAAAAAGTTTGGCACTCGTTATGGGGCATTGGGGCGATGCTCATCAGGGACAATTTTGTAAGTGAGAGACCAAGGTGCTGGACGGCCCTGCTCCTGCTAGAATCCGAAAAAGCTCTCTCACAGCAACCGTTTACATTCCCTCTTTAGAGGAAAAGTGGGAGGAAAATGTGTTCATCATAGAATCAGCTTTTTTGGTGAACTAGAATCACCAAAAACTAAAAGAAAACAGATCAAAATGGATAGAACCTAAAGAAGATATATACTTGAAAAAATCCCGACAAATGAATAATTCAATCACCTTTTCAAGTATAATGTATGACAAGACTTAAATAACTCAACAATTACAGCTCGGGAGATACGGATCAAAGAATCAGCAAAACCATATTGATTCAATTGACTTGAAAGAAAAAGAATGTTCTAGTACTATGTAGCTAATGACATATGATGAAATTACATTTTCATTCCCCATAAAAGTGTAAAGGGGAATAAGGAAAAAGAAAAATTGCTTCCTTCCAAATTCCAACACATCATATGCTTATAGATAAAACATTAAAGTTATACCCTTTACTTTATGCATACATATGTAGATCAGCAACTCGGTCGCCATCGTCTTAAGTCAAAACTACTGCAATATAGTCCCCTTAGGAGGAAAAGAATTAAACTGGCAAATCATTCTGCTCTTCCAGGCCCCACCTTTTAGTTTTCTCAAGGAGGTGTCTTAATTTGTATTGGAGTTGCTGGCAACAGTAACAAATGCAGATGCGACACCAGCCATCCCAGCTGCCTGCTTCCAGTTTCGTGTCCCAACACCAACAGCTGCTCCCGCTACTGCACCCGCAACCAAAGCATTCACCTGAAGCTAAAACGAGGAGATTTATACCCATAAAACTACTTAAACAGAACAATTCTTCCACATGCATGCTAGGACATGGAGGTATGAGCATTAGAAAGGACGGATTGATTTAGAACTCAAAGCATCCATTAACAAGTTCATATAAAAGTATGAGAGAATATCAATTAACTTCAAAAGATAAGGGCCAACTTTTTGACGTTGAAAATCCAAGTCTTAGGACTGCAAAAACCTGGGTGTGAGTAATTGCACAACATATTCACACACTGTGGACTTACTCATACTATGTTCAGCATAGTCTGCTAAAAGTTCAACCATTCTGCACATTGTCTGACCAATATTTTGTACTGGCCTCATTTTTAGTTTCTTCAAGTGTTAGAAAATATCAAATGTGTGAAAGCCATCTTGGCTTCTGGATTCGACAATTATTTGGCCAAAGGCTATTTATCTGTTTCCACATAGTAGTCTGAAGTCTGTATTGATATTGTTCTTAGCTTATTCAATGAGTTAGCGAGGCTCTCTCTCTCTCTCTCTCTCTCTATTATCTCATAGCTGTAGGGGGGACCAAACTTTGGCACTACTAACCAAATTTAGTTTCGTAAAGGGTTTAACAGTTCTCCGATGGATGATTTATGCATGATGCTCCCACTAGGACCCGATACTTCAAGGATGCTCCAAAGGAGGTTCCATGACTGATGCTCAATGCAGATATGTGTGGTGGTCTCCACAAAGGATTTCTCCTGCTATCAACTAGCTCAATCCCTTTACGGAGAAATTTCAGGCGATTGTTTGATGTTGAGTTCAATTGCTTTGCCTCATGACCTCCTTGGATGATTACAGTCAACAGATTTAAAGCAAGCAGACTGACAATAAAAAAGATTAACTAAAAGAAATAAACTTTTATTAATCTTGAAGGTTTTCTGGGATACAACAAACTGATGAAACTCCCTGAAACTAATCCTAATTTTAAGACTAGCCTAAAACTATCCATAAAATGCCCAAATCGAGAGTCATTGATGGGTTTGATCGTGTCCTCTCCTTCCAATTAATGCCTCTTTTATAGGTATTTTCCCATCGACGGTTACACTGGTCACTGTGGTTTATCCCTTGTTTTAACTGTTACTTTTCAAATTCCTGGAGCCCATTAAGTATTGATAACTATTGCCTTTTTCAAATTTCAAGATAACCGCTTTAGTCCCTCCATTACAAGGGTTTTAACTGCTCTAGAATTTGAACAGGCCACATCCACTGGCTGTATATCCATTTTTTGATTAAATGAATATCACGTGGCAATTCTCCTTGGCTAACTTGTTCATTGGACATGTGTCGTTCATCACCAGTTCCCCAAAATGTAGAATTTTGTCCAAACAATGTGTCTAATGATTCAAAAGGAATTTATAGGTCAAATGTTCTATTTACCGATGTTCAAACTAATGCCTAACAACATATTCCATGCCCAATTTTCTGTTCTGTGTCCAATAATCATTAGTTATCTTTGTCTAACACGATCTAAGGTTCTCTTTTCAAGATTGAACTCTATTCAGAACTTTATAATACAGAGAGTCAAATCAGTACGAAGAGTCTTTAAAAGAATATCAATTCAGGAAGATTTGACTCTTTTTGACTACCAAACTAGGTTTTTGAGACAACAGATGCAACTACTATAATTTTTCAAACCCTAGCACCCTATCATGCGAACAAATCTAGATGGCTGAGCAGCTACTAGAGCTTCTATCAATTATTATACATAGGTAAATTCATATTTGTGGTTGGGTGGGGGAAAGCTAGCTCTGTGATTATATTTCCCCTATCTTTCATGCTTCATTTCCATACAATAGATGCAAAGTGAGAAAGGTATGGAGTTATTCATTTAGTGCAATAGTAATGGAAAAGTGTTATCCAACTCTATGTGTTGGCCTCTAAAACTCCATGACTTCATTCAAAATCTTACACGAAGAATAAATGAGGATTTTGGAAGCATGGATCTCGACGGCATTGTTCTTAGGCGTAAAATTTGTGCCAATGCTAATACCATTTCCAACTGAAGCAGAGAACAAAAAACAAAGATATATAACTAACCCAGTCATTCTTCCTTCGATATCTTTGAAGCCCACATCGAGTAATAGAAAAAATTCCAGCAAAAAGTCCTAAAAAAATAGGGTATCAAATACACAAAAATTGGTTGAGAAAACCAGAGAGTTCAACAAGCACCAGAGTAGAAGGTGATACATTTTGGTGATAATTCAATACCATCCAAGTACGGTAGATGAGAAAATTGAGTGCAAACTGAAGTAATAGAAGATGTAATTCAGTGAAAAAAAAAAAGATGGCAGAAACAGAAAGCAGTAGCCAGCTGAAAGCCTTCTTAAATGCTTACAGAACCACAGTGTGGCCAATGAAACGTATATAACACCTTTCTTATTCAACAAAAATATCACTACTAAGTCAAGACTCCAGTGGCTCATGAAGATATCTGTCAGAAAGTATCAACATATCTCAGGACTTGATCACATGACGTATATCATGAAACTTGCAGTTGTAAGAACTAATCATTCTATCTCATTAAAAAGACATACAGATCAAATCAAAGTTAATGAAACATCCATGGTTACAATGAACAACTCTGCCACTAACGTGGACCAATTTTAAGATAACTCCGATTTCTTTTGCAGAAAATGATTGTGGTAGATAATAAGTTCAAGAAATCATTTTTCATAACTGTTCTATATAATTTTTTTATTTTCCTTGTCAGCATCCCTTTACTGTACCTAGATTTCTCCTACTTGTTCATCTATGTTGTCAAGGTTTCAAGCTCTCTATTTTGAATTGCCTTATTTTACCAAAGTCATAAAAACAAAAAAAGAATCACAATGAGTCGGAGAAGTTTTAAGTTTGGCAAAAAAATTTCAGCTAGCACTAGAGGATGAAGAAAACAATTCTAAAGATAATGCCACGAAAACTGGGGTGAGGACTTGCTGTTAGAAAATTAAAAACTGAAAAAACTCGTAAAACCCATTTAGTGCTAAACCGAATCAAAGTACGCATATAATTACCACATTGAAAGCCAAATTGACCAACCGACTTAGCCTGCAATGAATGTCACAAACAAAAACAATAGTTCAGAATAAATTACAACAATTAAAAAAAAAAAAAAAGAAGAAGCAATCCATGCACATAAACAGGGGTTGGGATTTGAAAAAAAAGTTGAAAAATTTACTTACCACGAAAGAAGCGCGAGCAAAGCCAGTGAGACCTATATGATTGAAAGGCAAAACCAACAAAAAATCAACAGATACAACGAATAATAGGTCATAATTCCACGGCCAAACTCATTCCTCATATAATCGAAATTAAAAAACAACAAAAATCAACACATACAACGAGTTACAGCTCATAATTACAGGGCCAAACTATGAACTACTTATTCAATTTCCAATCCTGGAACCCTTAAATGATTCATATGTGGAAATTACCTGATTTGTTAGCTTCGTAGGGACCGGCGCACAGACCCCATAGTAGACCCGCCTGCAATAAATGTCAATTCTATTTGTTTTTGTGGTAAATATTTTGTAGATTCGAAGGGTTGAGAAGTAACAACACTGCTTACAGTTCCGCCGCGGAGGATCGACTCGATGGCGATGGAAGAGCAGGGGGTGTCGTCGATGAACTGTCCTTCCATCCTTCTTTCATTCTCGATGATTGTTCTTTTATATGTTTCGTTCGGCGGCGAAGCGGGCAAAAGTGCTCATATGACGAAGAAATTAATTTTATTTATTTTAGGATTTTTCGCACTTTGTACCCTAAATTTTTTTATATTTTTTTTTATATCCTTAAAAATTAAATTTATAGTATTTTATCTTTATACATCAAAAATATTAAAATATGACGCTTTTGTTAGGTTTTTTTATTTTTTATGTCAAAATTCAACCATTAACGCTGACAAAAAAAAACTAACAAAAATCTCTTTTGATGCATTAAAGGTATAATATAAAAAATTTAATCTTTGTGGGTATAAAATATAAAACTTAAAATATTTTAAGATACAAAATAAAATTTATCTTTTATTTTAAATGAAGTAAATGACGTCGTTTAATTTTTATAATCCGTTTTATAGGAGTAATGAAAAATAAGAATGATGGATAAACATTCTATCGTAGAAGAAGGAAAACCACTTTCTCTCATTTTTGTTTGGTACGATAAATGAAAAATTTGATGAATTAATTTTCTATTGTTTTCGTATCAAAGGAGGAAAGAAAACACATGAAAATTTAATTTACCATTATACTCTCACTAATAAGCACTATTTATTCTTATTGCAAGTAGACTTTTTCCAGCTTCGAAAAAGTTAAAAATCCCTCTAATTTACTATAAAAATTAATAAACATGTACAAAAATATATATTTTTTCATCCACTTTCTTGTGAAAATCAACTAAATAAATGGTTTAAAATAGAATGTTTGTGTGTTTTGAGAAATTTATTGAAATTGATTAGTAAGGGATATAATAAAAAATTATCTAACATATAATAGTGATGATTATCGATGGTATGATAACATTATGCGATCTCGACATATAATTTTGATTGATTTAACGTTAAAGAATGTTACACAATTTTTTAAATTAATCAGGTCGTAATCAATTAGTTGGATCATATTATATTGAGTTTGTATTGTATTAATTTTTTTGGTATGATGGATGAAAAAATTGAGGGATAATTTTTATATTATCTGGTAAAAGAAATAAAAAGAATGGAATGAAAAAATATATAAACTCAATCTAATATTATACCCTTGAATATAAATTATATATTTTTTATTATAAATTTTAAATTTGCACTTTACGAGAGTCAAAGAAAGGATAAAATATGAAGTGTAAAATAAAAGCTACTCCTACTTGTTACAAAAAAATTGATTTTGTGGCATGTTTCTAGGAAAATCTTGTCCATGTAAAAATATCACCTTGTGAAGGGCATAAAAGTAATTTAATTATAGTCATTAAAGTTAGCAATACTTCTCTCCCACTTTCCGCCTGTTTTTGGAAGGAAAAAAAATGGTGGGCCGAATGGAATCACTTTTCACCCTCTTTTCCATTCTATTTGATTTTCCTTCGAAATCAAACAAAGGGTACTCTTTCCTTTCTCTCCATTTTTCATCCTTTCTTTTCCTTCCATCCACTTTTCCTTCGTACCAAACAAGGGGTTAGTTTTTTCCCCTCATTGGACTGGGCCTTTTTCTAGTGTCGTCAAAATGATGTTAAGCCCAACATAGTTAGCTCCCAGTCCAATAACAGGCCCAAATGAAACCCTAATCTTAGATCGTATATATTATCAACCCTACTTCTTCACCACTTCATCTTCACACCGAGTAGTCGTCCCTTTCCAACTGCATCTGTGTATGTGTGTGTGTGTTTTCACTTTCGTATTTTGATTGTTCCAATTGCAGAGAAGAGAGGAGCAAAGATGAGTAAAGGGGCAGCAGCGATAGCCAAGGGGAAGAAGAAGGGAGCGAGTTTCGTGATCGACTGCGCGAAGCCGGTGGAGGACAAGATCATGGAAATTGCATCTCTAGAGAAGTTCCTCCAGGAGAGAATCAAGGTCGGCGGCAAGGCCGGTGCTCTCGGAGACTCCGTCACCGTCACCCGTGAGAAGACCAAGATCACCGTCACCTCTGACGGCACCTTCTCCAAACGGTAATTTCGTTTTCAGCGATTTCCGTATAATTTTCGTTTCTCTTTTGACATATCTATATGTGGGTGTGAATAAACTGTCCAACATTTACTTGAAAAACATTATGGTGACTACTCTGTGAAGGTTTCCATTGACTAGGTTCAGATTTGGAGTGTTTTGTTCCTGAAACCAACTGAGCTATTTTTTTTTTGTCATTTGTCGTATTTTAAGGTTTAGGTTAATGCATATAAAGCAGTAGATGTTTTGGTGATTGACCAGACCTTTTGGGCGTTGCCAACTCCTAGAAATGTCCGCTTCTCTCACAAGTGCAAGTGATATTGTTATATGTTTATGTTGAAGTGCTTCTAGATGTACTCCGATTATTTCCAATTCTTTGTCATATGATTGTGGAAGCTTGATATGATATCCTCCAGTTTCAGCCTGTTAAATTGGAGTTTATCATATTTGCATCTTGCGGAAGGAAGGGACATCTGTCGATCCCACGCCTGGCTTGTAGAATAAAACTTAGGTGTTATGGGTTTTTTGTAATGATAGTTGGAGAATGATCTTTGTTCAGCCCAAGCAGTTATTAGGATAACGAATTACCATTACTCATTTAAATTATATGAGCACCAGTTACCTTAATATTCCCCAAGAAATGTATGGATCTAGTAGGGGTTGGTGTTGTGACGGGTTGCCTGATGATTGATGGGAGGGTTTCACAATTTTTTGATCCAACATGATTGGTTTAGTTGTTTGTATTTAGGTTATCCTAATTAAATATATAGTGTTAGCCCTCAGACTTCATAGAATCGTATTGATTACCTGTTTTTCTGTGTTCCCCAGGTATCTCAAGTATCTTACAAAGAAATACTTGAAAAAGAACAACGTGAGGGATTGGCTACGGGTGATTGCGTCCAACAAAGACAGGAATGTTTATGAGTTGCGGTACTTCAACATTGCCGAGAACGAGGGAGAGGAGGAAGACTGATGATACAGTTCAGAGCTTCTCACATTACATGTTTGTCTTGGCTTTTGCCTTACAGAACTCTGTTTTTCAATTTTCAGCTTTCTGAACTTTCAACCCGTTATTTTGCAACTGTTCCCGTTTTATGTTCTATTGCAAATTTGTTAAATGATATTTGGGACATCTGGAATCGTTATTAGCTGTTATGGTTCTCCGCAGAGCTATTATTTTGTCTTAAGCTACTTTCACATTGATGGATGTCATTTTGGGATGGTGCATCTCTTGTTTTGGTAGTCTTTGGGATTTTTCTCATTTTTCAATCAACTCTTGCCTTACCTTGCCTGCTGTCATTTCACCTTACAAGTTGGCTTGTATTACATATGTAAGTAAATAACAATTTTGCCTCCCCTCCGCCATAGAGGGTGAGGATGTTGCCTGTTGTTGGTAGATTCTGTCTGCCAAAGGCAAGGACGGGATGTTTGGCTGGTATAAAGATTTATAGTCATAACGTGTGGAGCAATGCTTTTTTTTTAATATGTGATGATTGCAGCTGTGAATCCCCTCGCCGTTAGACTTTTTAGATTGTATACTGGCTGCAAGAAGGTTTCATTTTGTTTTGTGAATGTCTCAAGGGGTTGGGGAGTATTTTACTGCTGTGCAGGGCCAACTTATATGATTATTTTCATAGAAACATCAAGTATTTCCTTTAAAAACTGTAACCGATATCCTTGTGTCTTGTATTTTTTGTTGCAATTCTGTGAACATTTAACGTGGACATTGCTTGTTTTCTTCTCTAATGCTGCAGCTGTACTGCTGTTACTGGGATATCGTAAGAAATGGAAGTTTGAACTTCAAATATGTCATGGGAACTTCCTCTATATCCCACTTTAAAATTGAAAGGAACTTGCTCCCCGGACAGAGAACAAGGTTGCCTCGATTGTCTTACTAACCTCCAAACCCTGCCCTTTCTCCCTAAACCCACTATAATTCATCGGCATTTCTTCCAATTTAAATGGTAAATCATAAACATGAATCAATGTTCTTCCCCAAAAATACGTCCAGACCCTTATCCTTCATCACAGCCTCAACTTCTCCTCTGGTTTGGTTTGCTCCCTCTGTATGTTGTTTGGGGATCTGGCTGGTAGGTGTTCAACCATAATCGTTTTGGTGTAAAATGTTGTTTTAATAAATAACGTCACCAAAACGATACTGTTTCAGTCAATTGTATCTTTGCTGTTGATTTTTTAGCTGCAGAGGATTCTCATGATGTTGGTTTAATCAATAGCATCTTTACTGTTGATTTTTTTACAACAGATGATCTTCACCCGGTATTGTAATATGAATTTCAACACTACCATTAATTTACCATAAATTTTTTTTTCTCAATTTTATACACTTACTCTTAAATTATACTTATAAATACCTCAAAAAATAGGAAAAAACACTGCCTATGGGCAAAATTCTTGGATGAGGACCCTCAAATATATATTATTAATTTTTTTTTTTATAGATCACTTATCATTTATTAAAGTAGAATCTATTATATACAAATGAACCATTATCCATGACGGTGGATGATCAATCAATAAAGAAATTAAAAGAAAAATGTATTAGTGAGTCTCAAATCCTTTTGAAGATTATAAATAAACGAGCAGTAATAAATTTTGTGAGGCACCAAAGACAAATATTTTAGTTTTAACGTGAATAAATTGAGGAGAAGATTAAATTTTGTGAGGCATCAAAGACGAATATTTTAGTTCCAACGTGAATGAATTGAGAAGATTAAATTTTGTGAGGCACCAAGGATGAATATTTTAGTTCTAACGTAAATGAATTGAGGAGAAGATTAATTAAAGTGTGTGTAAACAGTTAGGTCTTGACCATTGAAAAAAAATTCAAATTTTTTGAAATAAAATAAAAAATAAAAATTGAAAAAAAATAAAAAAATATATAGTATAATTTGTATAGTAATTAAAATTTTTTAAGAAAAAATTAAATTTTTATTTTTGATTTTATTTCAATAAATGATACAATAAAACATAAATTTTGATTATAACATTTAAAATATTTTATATTTTATATTTGATTGAAGTATTTTTGGTATAAGTATAACATTTTAAATTTAAAAAATTTAAATATTATATACGTATAAACTTCAAAGAAATTTAAGTATAATTTATTAACGAATATATTTACATCAGGGGTCTAAGTGTTATATACGTACAAATTTTAAGAGATATAATATTTTAAATATTAAAAAATTTAAGTGATTAAGTAACGTGGTCTGAACGTAATTCTCCAAAAATTTTCTTTTGCAAAATTTCCACCGCAAAACATACCCTAAAACTTTCCTTTGCGCAATCTTTCTTTTTCCCTCTCTCTCATGTTGTACAGACCCACCAGCTGCACTTAAAAGGAAACCCTCTCTCTCCACTCAAGGAATCTTTCTTCTCTACACTCTCCTATCTCCTCTTTCCTCTCTGTTCTCTCCTTTTTCAAATCCAAGCAAGCCCAAGCAATTTACCCAATCATCGCGAGCAAGCATGAATTAATCTGAAGTGCAAATATGTGAAAATATTGGAACTTTAGATAGGGGGTTTTACTTCGCCAACCGCAGACAAGCCAGACCCAAGTAAGCTTCCAGCGCATTCTGGTAGGGGCCATCAACCATAACATGGAATGTTTGGCAGGCTTCGTAATCTTACCAACTGCGGCTTCTCCTATTATGCGCTCATCACTATTTTGCGCCCCCAAGAAATACAGAAATGCCGTAGTAGTGAGCGCAAAACTCCAACACAATGATGATGACCCTCTGTTCCGAGCCGCCGTTAGTCGCGCTTCTCTTCGCTTTCAGGAGACCCATCGCCCAGGCAAACTCTCTCTCTCTCTCTTTCTTATTAGGTCGGAAGTGTTCATTCAGGCATTTTATCTAACATTTTACTGTCAATGTAAAAATAAGATCTTTCATAAGGTCGTGTAGTAATAGAGATGATGTGTAAATCAAGACGTCCCAATCTTTGTAACTCCTCAGTACCCTCGTCTATATTTTAGTCCCAGTGTGGATTACTTGAGAATTAAGGTTACTGTCCTTTGGGTGCCAAGTATTTGTTTTGATTTCTTACAAGAAGGGTCCTTGTGTAATGTTCAATTCTCATACCTAAAGGTTTCTACTTTGAAAAAGTTCTCAAGTGAAGTATCAAGTCTGTGATCTATTACTTGATTGTGCAGAGCCTCTTTTTGTTGACCCATATGCTGGATGCTTTGTTCCTCTTAGTGTTGAGGCGGATATGAAGCACCAACTGCACCAGTACTGCCTTGCAACCAAGTTTATTGATGATAAGTTGCTTACTACAACTAATAATATTGATGGGCTTAAGCAGGTATGATGTCAATGCCAATAGAGGATGAACTGATCAATTTCTTCTGTTCTGAAGTTGTATGGTTGTGTACTGATATCTTGCAGGTTGTTTTGTTAACAGATGGAATGGATACGCGGCCATATCGGCTCAATTGGCCTACCTCAACCATAATATTTGATATATCTCCAGAAAGGGTATTCAAGAAAGCAGCTCAAAAGCTTGAAGGTGTGTACTGAAACACTGAAAAATTATTCCATTTTCATCTGATGTTATTTACAATCTCAAGTTTCCAAATTTCATTTACATATTTCAGACAATCAGCATAATATTTTGTTCAGTTTATACACTCGTAACCAAATTTGTTTACTATATGGTTACATTGTTAAGGATGTTGGGCGACTGAGAAGATAGGGGCGGGCAAAATAGGGCTTTTCTTTCACTCCAGTTGGCTGATGGGAGTGCAAAGAAGAGCGCTTGCTCTCCTTTCCCTCCATTTGGACAGTGAGTTCTCCTTCCGCTTTGCAATCAGTGGAGTTTGTACATGGGTAGCCTGAGCACCGATCCTTGCGTCTAATCTACTCAATGAAAGACTTTCTTACAAATATATGTAGATAACTCAAAAATGTGTGTATTAGCATATTTCACGAAGTTATTTTTGTTTTCATCTATGTTGTTTGTCCTAGATTCCAACTCTATCTTATGCATCCGTTTGCCGATTTGATTAGCATTAGCTGTGAACATTTCCTAACCCTGTATTGTCTTGACATTCTATTAGATGTTGGGGCTAAGATTCCAAGAAGCTGCTTGTTCTTTCATGTTCCATCAGAGTCACCTTATATACAACAAACTTTGTGCAGCAAAGGATTTACTGGTAATAGGCCTAGTATATGGGCTTTCCAGGTATTAAGAGCCTTTATAATGTTTATAATACATATATATGGCTTTAAATAGGATTGATAATTAAGCCGAGCAACTCGGATTCGGCTCGAGTAACACTCGACTCGAGCTCGGCTTAAATACTAAACGTGCCAAGCTTGAATAATTTTTAGACTCGTTTAGAAAACGAGCCTAAAATGTTTGGCTCAAGTTCGCAAAGTTTGACTCGTTTATATGTAAAATAGTCGAGCTGCTCAAGTTCGACTCGTTTTAGACTCAGTTCGGGCTCGACTCATCTTTTAAATGAACCAAAGTTAAACAATTTATTCAGCTTGTTTAGAAAAACGAACTCGAGAGACTCGGTTCGATTATTAAACCAAACTTCAAAGTTCCAACTCTTTCACGGAATAATGAGGTGCTTTAATGGGTGTAATCATTTTCCTTTGACTTTCCCAGGGACTGCCTGTGATGACTCTAGCAAGTTTTGAAGAGTTTTTGTCCATAGTTAGTAATTTGGCCATGAAGGGATGCCTCCTTCTGGGAGAATTGCCTGCCTGGTTGGCAGAAACTGAAGTTGGCATCAAGGTCAATTAGCTTTGATTTTGTACTAGCATTTATTTATATTTCAATTGCCTTTCATCTGAGAGAACCATTTCACAGTCCGCTAAGAAAATATGGATGGACAAGCTTTTTATGAGCCATGGTTTACGTGTGGACGTGATTGGATATGAAGAAGTTGGAAGGAACCTAGGCAAGGTACCAATGCCCGGAGAGTTCAAGGATATGCTTTTTGTTGCAGAACAATTGCGATTTTCTGATGATCAGGTGAGGCAGCTTCTTCCATTTCTTAATATTTTGATGCATTTAGGGGTATAATTTGGACTGGCTAACCCGAACCCAACCCAACCCAGGAAAACAGTGTTAGGGTTAGGGTTGAGGTTTTTCAATTTTAATGTTAGGGTTAAAAAGCTTCAACCCGAAATGATAAAATCGGATAAAATTCGAAACCAATCTGAGTTCAACTCAAATTAACAATTATATTTAAATAAACTAAAAATAAAAATAAAATATAAATGCATATTTTGTGATTATTATTATTTAAAGAAATTTAGCCTTGCACCTTAATAAGTTGTCTTGATGGATCTCATCTTAGTAGGTCAAATAAACCAATGTAATAATCCAACATTGTGCAAAAGTTCAGACTTAATTTAGAATTATTGTTTGTTGAGTACGAATTGTCAACTCGAATTGGGTAATCCGAACTTATCCAAAATCACTTCGACTCAACCTGCCCAAGTTGCACCTTTAGATGCATTGCCCTTGCAGGGAGCATTATTTCTAGCATAATTTTCTTTGCTTTCATTTCATGGAGGTCTATATGACTATATCTGGATTTCCATATCACCCCTGCATATCTCTTTCCCTTTTCACACTATTATTTCTTTGAGTGTTCCTACTGCTGGATTCAGAAGTTGAGTATACCAAACTCTGTGCAGTCATTTAGTGCCTTTGGGCTACTTATATAATGCGGTGTTATAATCATACTTGGGGTTCATTGCATCTGAACAGATGGAAACCTGGAGGAAAGAATTTGAGAGGATAGAGGAAGAAGCAGATGAAGAAGGGTTCGAGGAGCTTTAACATGGCACTTAAGTTTTGCATCTTTTCGGTTGGAATTGCCGAGGAGTATTGTTTCTCTCTGCAGTTCAACAAGCATTCAAACAGCCTTCTCCATGGTGTCCACTACATGTATATAAATTATTGGTGATTTTGTAAGAATTCGATTCCTCTAAACGATACCTGATCTATATGCCAACTCAAATGCTTAGGTTACTGAATCCTTCCCATCCACTTCATCAACAGTTTTCAACACCACCATTATCTTTATTTTCACACGCAATTTTTTTTTTCTCCAATACATAGCCACCCGGGCCGAGGGTCAGCACAGAATGAAAGGGGTGGCCCTAATGTTGTGTTGTTAGGGCGAGACAAAGTGGGCAAACACGGGCGGTTTGGTGTCTAATGGACTATTTCACTTATTAGATTAGAAAGAACGGGATGGAATATAAAGAACGTGAAGCCCTATAGGGTCAGGGTTTTTTCACCTGCAAGAAACAGAGATAACAAGAAGGAAGACTTGCTACACGTGCTTAACACAAGAGTCCGAGGACTACAACTCTTTTTCATCATTTTGTCTTGGCAAGCAAAATGTAGACATTATGCACATGTTCATATTTGATGTATAGAGAACAAAGACAACAAATTACAAAATTAAATATTTTTTTAAAAAAGCAAAAACATTATACTATGCAAGTATTTCTCAAATGTAAGTATTTTCACTAATAAAAAACACAACATACCACCATAATAAGCCAGACACTGCACACCCTGGGTCGGTCACTTTTCTGGGCCAGGATAGATAAGTGGAGCCTCAACACGCAGCAAGTGGATCCACGAGGTAAACCAACAACTAAAGTTAAGAGTTGGAGCGGTTCGGGGTTCATAGAGAAGAGGGAACATGGAAGCACGGCAGCAACCAAAAACACCATCCGATTTTCATAGGCCTCAATCACAGCAAGGTCACAGACTGAGAACAAAGTTTACTCTAAAATGGGCCGATCACTGGAAGGTCAGAGACCAAGAACAAAGTTTACTCTAAAATTTTTAAGCCAATTACTTAAAAGTGACAACAGCATCACCTTAATTGCCACAGAGAAATGAGAACCGACATGCAAACTATGTCCATTCAGCTTTTTGTTGTTAATAACCAAACCAACAGATACAAGAAAATGAGAGGGTAAGACATGGTAGTACCTTGTAGTTAATCACATGGGAAGCCTCCAAATCAGAGAGATGCTGAAACCATTGCAAAACCACTTTCCCCCCAAAAAAAAAACAAAAAACAAAGAGGATATTATTGCAAAACTGGGACTATTGGGCGTGGTCTGACAACATTCAGTACACTTCTAGCAGTTGCCTGTTGGTTGGAAAATGAAAATAAATCAACCTAGATTGTCCGGATGACAGTACAAAGAAACTTATAAAGTTTACTTATAAAATTTACCTCAAAGAATGAATTAAAGTTAAGACGCAGAAGAAAACGCCTCAGAAATGGGGCCCGCTGGCTCCCAGCTAGCCTGCTACTTCGCAGAATAGTATACAAGGAATTTGATTTCTTGTTGAATTCCTGAATGAATAAGAAACAGAGAATTTATATTTACAGATTAATAAAATTGGGCGAAAAAGGTGATACTAAGCCTTCAAGGTATTGGGCATAACCAAAACTTAGCATGTGCCACATAGGGGAACCAAGTGCAAAAATAATGTCCAGCATATCATGTTGCTCCAAAGACTAGCATGACTTCTGATTTATTAGAGCACACAAGAAAGAGAGCTGTTGAGTTGATGGCATTGTCCCCGTCTCGCATGTGTACAGATAAATAAGTGCATTTCTTACTCGTGTCAGGTCAACTCGACGAACATGTTTGATATAGAAGATGACTAGTTGACTAGGAATAGACATTAACAAATGAAAATTTAATGAGGTTTAATGAATTCATGCAAATCATCTCAAAAAAACAAATTGTATTGTCAAACTTATATTACTTTCGTCATCAAATTACATGCAAGTGTCCATTATAAAAATTCAGAGGGCAAAAGGAAAGCAACTCTAATTGGGTTTAATAAATTCATGTGAATGAAACATCTCAAAAAGAAGAATTGTGTTATCGAACTTATATTATTTTTTCGTCATCAAATTTCATGTAAGTTTCCATTTATAAAAATTCAGAGGATAAAAGGAACGTAAGTCACTTGTTGACATGCAAAATTACAACAATAATATGAGATTTCTAATCAAATAATAAATGCAACTCTCAACCTTTTGTAGTTTGAGGATATGAATATGGAAAGAGAATTAATAACTTACACCATGGTAATGTGAAATCCACTCAATAATCCCAAACAAACAAACAAAAAAATTCATCTTAGTGTGATGCGATACGAAGCACTACTATGCAAAAGATTACAATGTATAAGATTATGATCAAGCCGAGGTGCATATTGGTGTTCTGCAAGAAAAATTGTCCCCAACATCACCATTTTAGATTGAAGCTCAAGGGAAAAGACTTGAATCAAGATAAAGGTGGGATATGTATCTGGAGTTGGTTGAGTTGTGAGACACGATTACAAATAATTAAGTTTTGAGGATAGAGTTAGAGATGGAGTTGGGATGTATGGAGATAGATATCAGCAAAAAATTGAGTTTTGAGGAGAGATAGTGTGGAAAAACATGTGGTTAGAGGAGAATTTTAATGGATCCAGGTGTTTGGTCTTGATTTGAGGAAATCTTGATTTTTAATTTAAAAAATCAAAATTCTTGGAAAATATGAATGAGGGAGGGAATGCAACCTATGGTTCCTCACTCCTAATTTGTTTGCTTTATATATATATCTTAGTGGGTGCTCCCTGCGATGCATGGAATTTGTCTCTTCCACCATCACTTTGTTTCACCCTTTTTCTAACCCTCATATTACTGAAAAATTACCCATTAATGAGTTATGATAATTTTTTGTTAAATATGAAAAAGTGAAGAAGGATGAGTGAAATTTTGAATTAGAAATAACGTAAAAAGATAGTGAGAGCAGTTACAAAAAATGGAGGAAGTAGTTAAATAAGTCAAATGGAATAATTTGATTCGATGGAGGTAATTAAATATTTTTAAAATCTAGAAATTAAGCATTTGGGGAGGTAAGACTTCTCAAACCCTCTCACCTGATAAATGTTCATTTTATATATATATATAGATATAGATTGTTAGCTAGCAATACCTCAGTTATATGCTCCAGTTCAACAGTGTTTCCATTGCTTTCTTGGTTCTCAATCTTCCAGCAGAACTGAAGGCAAAGTTTCATTATGCTGTCCAGTATTCTGGACACGGAGCCAATGTCCAAGAATGATTGTGAAACTAAAGCAGATAAATACCTGCAGATAATGTCATATGGAAATCAATTTATCAATATCATCAAGTTGCAAAACAATTGTTTTGGCAATCAAAAGAGCTCTGAAAGTAGACAGAAACACCGACACTCCTCTTGGATCATTTCCACAAACCAACTAGTATCATTGCGAGTTTGGGCCTTAAATATCCAAGACAGACAATTTGTAAAAGTAAAACCCACCAGGCTCTTCCAATAGTAACCTTCAGTGGTCCATGTTCAACATCTATGAAAAGGTAAAGATGAGAATTCATAAATATACAAACCTTGGGACACCATTGAGTGTCCCTAAAATGGGAAATTGTTAAGAGTAACTACAAAATTGACAACACCCTATATGACACAAAAGCAGATAAAACCATGCTGACTATGGTTACCAGCCACACAGGCCAAGCTAAGTCTGGTCAGAGCATCCAAGACAAATAAAAAATTACATGTCGGCAGCTCTAGCTCATAACACAGACATTATTAGAATGAGCAAGGGCTGCAAATTCATGAACCATGATAAAAAGCCATATATCTTACTAGGGACTAGGAATGAAACGATTATGCTATTTTGACTCCCGAAGCGCACAGTGGACAGTTTTGATCTGTCTGTTTGCTATTACATACAACATGAATTTACTTTCAGATGATTCCTTGGTATAGCTATTAACTATTCTGTAACTGATTCATTTTGTGCAAATTAGAAATTTAGAAGACAATAACAATGCTTAATTTCACTTAACAAAAAAAAAATGCATAATTTCCACCTTAACATAATACATTAAACTCAGAAACAAGATGAAACCCAAAACATTCAGGTCTACTTACTCTTGATGGAAGCCCACCAATTCTGTAAAATCATGAGAATCTTGAATATGAGCTTGCAGTACATTCCACTGAGATTCTATCACATCCACCTGGGAAAGAAGACAAGGGGGTTTAAAAGAGTTTGCAGGACCAATGATAAGGATTCTAAAGCATCATTAGAGATGCTTGTGATCATTTGCCACTCTTACCGAAGCCCCATGTGGAATCTTATGCGCAACTTCATACAATTTTCCACTTCTAATAGGAAGGGAGTGAGGTAGTAGGAAGTAGTAACAACTCTTGGAAAAGTAAATAAAATGCATACTTTGACCAACATTAAGAACATGAAATACGGGGCCAATGTTGGAAGTTAATGGGCAAGGACTATGGATGGAAAAATGAAAATCAAACCATACACATTTGTTTGTAATCCACATGCAAAAAAGTGAGCCCAGAGATATCCATGCTAGAAGTCACACATAAAACTAGGTGACTGCCAGGTCATGAATTCAATGTGAATCTGACAATAATTAATTGTTAAATTCAATTAAGTCAAATTGTGCTCTGTCAAGCAAGAGGTCCATAACTTTCCCAACAAATAGAAGAATTCCTGGTACTGCCTCAAAGATTGAGCATGCACATGCAGGCATTCTCGTAAGCAAGAAAGAGATAGAGGGGTTAAAAAAAAAGATAATGAAGAGTTCAGAGTTTTCCACAGCAAGAAAAAAAAATTAGAGTTTCTTCTGTCAAGCTAAAACGTTCTTCTCCACCTTGCTACACAATGTTTGTGGGCATAAATATGGTTATACAGTGCACGTGAACATACATATATTCATGCAAACAGATAAGTATTATGATAAGATACATAGACACAATTTTTTTGGCTCAATATATCATAAACTGTCCAATATCTAGACCTTTGGCACCCATGCTGAACTATCTGACAGCTCCAACAATTGGTGCACTCAGGCTACCAAAAACAATGAAAAGGAGAGTGCAGACTGCTGGTTTTAGATTACTTGGGTATTCGATTACCAGCCTTAAGGAAAAACTAGGGAAAAAACAAATGTCTATGCCAACTCATTTCTTAGGTAAAATCAACTTCTTAGAGCATTCTCAATCTCATCCCCTTATACGATCGAGTTATCAATTTATAACAAAACATGAAGCTCCAAGTGATATGGTAGTAAGCTAGTAATAACCTGGATATAAAATTGAAGATTTCTTATCAAGAAGGCCATGTGCTCCCTAACACGCCACATTGGCGTAAAATGTTGACGGCAACTCATACGATCATTACGATGTTCAGCAAAATGTGAGTGACCTTGATGCATCACAGAAGCCCATGACTTTTCCAATTCCATTTGTGTTCGCTTAAGCCGTAGCAAATACTGAAAAATCCTGCGATACCTGAAGCAGGTTTGTGGTTACCCTTACGTAAAAATGACGCAATTAATTGAGTAATTATCAATTATTAAAGATGCTGTAACACTACAATGCAAGTGGATAACACAACTATAAACTTTGAAAATTCTTCATGACAAAGGAGACTTTATCAGTTGGAGAAAAGAACAAAAACAGCTAGTAAAGCAGTCACAAGTCTTACTTAGAGAGCACTTCTTGTGTAAAGAACAACTGTAATGGCCAGTCAACAGAATATTCAAGAGCAATCCCATCCCAGCCATCAATGGACATCTCCGAAAACATATCTGGTTGGGCCCCTGGCTCTCCATCAGTGTGAACTTTGGCCTTTGACAAATCTACTTGGGAGGATTTAACCGAAACTCCAAAAGAAGGCATCCTAAAAGTGGTAAAGGAGAGGCAAGTGAATGCTGTCTACAAAACTAAATCAATAGTTAAAAAGTAAAATGCTTTTTGGACAATTCCTATTCTATTCAGACATTTAATAATAGTCCATATGGCTTCTAACCGCAAAGACACCCTTGAGAAGTATTTATCTTCATCACCAATAGTCTTTATCGCCGCCTGCATTGCAAGTATGCTTGTTTCAATACTACCAGAAATTCTGAAAGCTATGAAGCTGACACAAACAAAATTTGTACCACATCAAGAACAAGGAAGAAACCGTGGAAGGAAGCAAAGCTTGACTCCATAAAGACAATGCTGCATGAACCCACGTAAAAATACAAAGCAGATTTGAAACTACATTTGCAAAGTCACTGCACTCCAAAGGCAAGTCAAAAAGATTGCCTAAATTCTTTTGACAATCATTCTCACCGAATTCAAGTAGTTGACTGTATAGTTATAATGGATGAAATAAGAAAACAGCAGTTAAAATATATAAACATCTTTTTAGGAATAATGTGACGTCATACTGAAAAAAAGAAAAATTTTAGGAGATAATTACTCTAAAGAAATGAGGATAGATGTTCACATAGAAAGGAGTAAACAAAAAGTTGAATCACTTGACATCTAATCCCAAAGTGTGGCTACATAACAAATAGCATCAAGAACTATAATTATTGCTCGCGTAAACAAATTCTTTCAGACTGGTTTTCCTCACAATCATATACACAAATTTAAGCTGCAGTTACAAATCTCCCACCGAGTTCAAGTTGTTGACTGTATAGTTCTAATGGATGAAATTAGAAAACTGCAGTTAAAATATATAAGCGTTTTTAGGAATAATGTGACATCATATATCTGCAAATAAGAAAACTTTGGGAATAATACTCTAAAGAACTGAGGATAGAAGTTCACATAGAAAGGAGTAAAAAAAAGTTGAATCACTTGCCATCTAATCCCGAAGTGTGGCTACGTAACAAAGAGCATCAAGAACTATAATTAGTGATCATGGAAACAAATTCTTTCAGACTGGTTTTCCTCACAATCATATGCACAAATTTAAGCCCAGGAATTGATTTTACAGAAGTTCTATCTTTGCCATTTCTGTATGAGGTCAGATATGTAAAGGAAAAAAAAATTCACAGGACACATAAAAACTAATGGAAACAAATGCACCACATACATAAGTAAAATAATAAATTGATTTATAAACCATAAGACATTGGAACATTGATATTTTTTAGTAATCATCTAGTACAAAACATACCAGCTGAAATGGAACCATGAGAGCAGCTTCAGCAGTTGACTGACGAGGCGGTAAACACATTAACTGGCGACTCTCCTCAAGGAAACTCTAGCATATTAAATCATATTTTATCAAGCACACATATAACGTTAAGAGTAACAAAATTAGCATTTTCAGCACTGTCGAAATAAATGTAAGTGACAAACAGCACATGCTTTTTCACAATTCACACTATTGTTAAATTTTGTAAGACAAGCTTATAGAACATGAGTGCGAGACAAGATGAGCAAACTTGCCACAAAACATCAGCATTGCATGCCTAGTTCAAATGAAGAGCTCGCAAGGAGCTAAATCCAAACAAATGATGCAGCAGAAAACTCATCAAATATTGTTTTACATAGGTGTCAAGACTCAAAACTCAATCTGACAAAAATAGTACCCCCCCCCCCCCCCAAAAAAAAGTCAACCAAACGGACCCAACAGAAAGGAAAAGAAAAACAAAAGAGAAAGAAAAAAAAATCAGTAGCTTATTTAAATAAATGAGTGTGTTGACACTGCCTTCCCTCACGAGCAAGTATGACACGAAACTCATATACTAGGCCACCCACATTTATCCTAATTCAGGAGATGTATGACCCCTCCATGTTATTAAGTAAAGTAACCCACCAGGTGGTTTAAATATAATGAACACCAAAAGGAAGCGGAAGTCAATTGTTCACCATCCTTTACCTGGAAGAAATCACCTTTTGCTAAAAGAAAATAGTTTTTAAGGGCCTTTAAGTGGCCATTTAAGTCGGCTCGTACAACAACAAGCTGCATGAATGAGGGAAAACCATCAATACAGATTTCCATGATATCAGAAAAATAAATTTCACATTACGCACCTGCCAAAGATGACTGGCTGCAATAGCACGAATTGAGTCAACAGCATTTTCAAATGATCTTTTGTGGAACTCAGATGATTCCTGCACATAGTGAACCAACAATTTAGCCTAAAAGAGTAGTACTAACACAACAGAAAGATTAACATCAGGAAGGAATACAAAAGGAATCTGTCAAGTACGTGGAAAAACTGTATTGGAATCCGTAAAGTCAGTGGAAAAACTATGGCTCAAGCTGGAATATCATTGAACTGCTATACATGGAACACAACAACTATAGTTAATGCACAAAGACCTTTAAGTCTTGAAGCATAGCTTCGATCTTATCAGCTTCAGACTGTGGAAGCAACTCTTCTCCAATCAACTTGGTGTCCATGGAGGGGTCCTTTTGGAAAGAAAGACGTTCCATAAATCCTTGAATTCTTTGTGATCCTCTTGGTATCTGTGGATGAGATGGTGAATCATGGAATCGGAAGGCAGGACTTGGATTTCGAAGAACCCTGACAGCTTTTCCAGCAAAGAGAACAGATTCTGCGACACGCATTGGGATATACTCTGGCAGCATATCCTGGAACAGAGCAGAACTGTAATGTCTTGCAGCACCAATTATGTTTGACATATTAGTACTCAACGAGCACCACTCCCAAAACATAAATGCTTAAAAGACCAAAAAAAAAAACAACAGTTACTCGCACGGATGCAATAAATAGTTCTTGACTAGAGCTGCCTAGATGTAATGGATAGCAGGTTGTGCCAAAAAGTAAGACAAAATGGTAATTAAGAGAAAGGCTCTCAGTAGAGCAGTGATGAGATGGCATTATTATTTGGGACTTTACTTTTATAATAGCAACCATTTCTTATTAATTGCAAAAGTTGCTACCTTAGGTTTTCATCGCAAAATTTGTGAAGAAGTAACAAATTGCAGACAATAACAACTGAAATCGAGTGGTTATGTCAAGGGGATGAAACAAGAACTCGGTGCAAATGTAACTTTAAATTGGCACTGACAGTTATATCAAGGGGATGCCAAGGAAAACAGCCATAGACTCACACCATATCTATGGTCGAATAGAGATAGTAACAACCAATATAACTAAAATAGAGGTGATCTGAAATGAAAAGGCAAACAATGCAAGAAACACAGCACATTGGTTTACCAGAGAAATATGGAATCCCAAGTGCCAATCTGATAGAGATACATCATTAGTAGACATGCGTGCCAACTTCTCAAGCACATCTGGAGACGAGTCATGTTCCGTATCCCTATCCTCCTGCCTGAAATGATAAACAAATACCAATGCGTTTGAATGTGAATTGTGTAATGGCCACCACAAAATGGATATAGCAAGAAACACATTGGTTATACACATTTCTATGAAAAATTCTCAAAAAAAAAAAAAGGATATATAAACATTAAGAGGATACAACATGTTTGGGAATCATCAACACAATACATTCTTTTAAAAAACGATACATATACTGCACAAGGATACAACAACATCTTGGGGTGTGTAAATACATAAAAGTTTCAATGGGTTCAATAGTGATGATATATTCACACATTGTAGAGACTATAACTTTTGAGTCGATAACATTCTAAGTTTCTACTTACGGACTGAAATTTGCATGAATGTCGTGACTAAGAAGTTAGGACCACCATCAATAAGATTGTATATCTAAATTCTTCCTGAAAGACCAAAATCGTCCAAATTGAAACCCTTTCCATCAACATGCTAGCAAGAAATTATTAAAACCCCTGGCATGTTAAACAACGATGCTATGCATCATACTACAAATGTGGTATCCCAATGTTCAGTACATGTCAGATGCATTTTCTAATGTATCCAAGAAGTACCAAAAATATGTTTACATTTTATATGACCTGCGAAGTTAGTTATCCAAGACGGATATTACTCCGCAAGTATCAAGTTGAGCATATCAAAATGATGCTGGAGGGACAAAAAGAGGAGGACTGAATAGATATGGGTCAAACTAGGTAGAAATAGAGAAATATTTTGTTGTTTTGCCCCCACAACTATTCAAAACTCTAATTAACAGTAAATGAAGAAGTAAAGATTTTATTTATGGGAGGCGGCAACGCATAAGCATCAACTGATAGTACACATGTATGGTTATAAATAGGATGAACCAGAACAAACAAGAGATAATGAAAGAATAAAGAAATAGAATCACTCACCTGCTTATGAAAAATTCTTCATATGGGTCGTGAAGAATCCCATACACCATCCACGATGCAAGTTGATTGTACATGACCTGATGCCCATGCCAAAGAAGCCTATGCTTTAAGCAAAAAAATTAGACAAGATATCGTTTGCAAGACATTTTATACTGCCTCTGCATGAGAAAATGAATCATATTAGCTTTAATCATAATACACATTATAATCATGCCAGCTACTCCAAGATCAGTCATATAACTTGTCAGTGGCGGTAAGGTAGATGCATTATGAAATGGGCATTAAGGGTTCGATTTGCATAAACATTCTCTCTGCATGTGAGATAAGACTGGACATCTAACTCTCTTCAATATTGGAAGCCTCGTACACTGGATTGCCCTTTTAGTAAAGACCATAATGGACAACCAGCAGGTATCAACTGTCAAGCACAAGTATATATTTCTCAAAAGTCTTGAGTATACTTCTCAATGAAATGTGGCAAGTGAAGACTATACTCAACAGAAAAAATTTCTATATCAAAGCCAGATCCCACCCAGCAAAAAAAAAAAAAAATTCATATCTGGCACATAAATATGTAAATCCTTGTACAAAGCAGATTCTCCCATCACCCAAATCAGAGTAGCCACCAATTGGCCAACAGTTGCGAAGACCTAGTCTGATAAATTTGATGAGGTGTAATTTACTTTACTACCCAAAAATCTTAGGTAAAACAAGCAGTGGAAGTTGTGGTTACTGGGAGTATGTCATATAATGCGTTTGAAGACCCTGCCACGACAACATTTTCATGCGTCAAGACATAGTATAACCTGAGGCTACTAACTAGGTCTTGATACCTGTTAGTAGCCAGGTTGTGCCATCTGCCTAGAGTTTCACTTTTATGCATGGTATAACAAAAGGGGATTGATGTACAAGGGCCATTTAGGGACCGTGAACAGTAACAATGATGAATAAATTTGACTAGCACTATGGTTTGGAATGGCTACAAGTGAGCATTTGATGGTGGGAGCTTCTCGGTAATTAAAGGTAGCGCTTCTAGGATTGGAACAAGCTAGGTGTCAGATCAGGTTGCAGGAACAACAGCACAAAGGAGAGAAGAGAATAAGAACACCTCAACTTTGCAGCTTGGGCAAGCTCTCACAAACTAAATATTAGAATTGACCTTGCAGTATATAACGAACAGAGAGGTTATATAGTAATCCATAGCTCCCAAGGACATCTGTGCTCCAACTATCCAATTAGTTGTATCAAGTTTCCATGCACAGATATACAAGCAATTTCCTTAAAAAAACGTATGACTTGTACTGAAAGAAGGTCGCGGAACTACTTTAGTTGAACACGCTTCATCCAATTACATTTCTTTAACTTTTTCTCTAGCCCCTCCACTCAGTCTACCAAAGCCATGGATTTGGTTAGTGTAAAACTTTACAAGCATCCCAGAGTTTGAACAAGAAAAAAATCTATGCATTTCTCAAGATTATCTAAGTCGCACAAAAGAAAATTACTAAACAAGAAAAACACTAAAATAATAAATGTAAATAATCAACAGATACCTCTGAATGCACGCCTGCAATTCAGGCACCCCACAATGGCATCGTTTATGCAAAAGGTTAAGAAGTCGCCCTCCAGAAATTCCATCCCTCTCAATCTCTAAGATGATCTCGTAAAGAGGTGGCAACAGCATAGAGAACTAGTTTCAAGATCCATTAGTTAGAGAATTCAAAGAACAAGAAAAAACACATCCCGCATGCAAATAACATAGAACTACAGGAGTTATGCACAATAAGAAGGTTTGGGCAGCATAAGCAAACCATCCTCAGGCCAAATATAATTTCAATATAAAAAAAAAAGGGAAAAAAATTACTTCGGTCTGGTAGTAAATTACACTACTCCACTGCAACAGCCTGTGTATATATGGACTCACTTTTCATACATCCCCGATTAAGTCTGGGAGTTTATTCTCTACAACAGTGATATGCTCAAGATGAACCTCACTATCTAAGCAAAAAACAAAAAGAAGCTCAGAAAATACAGATAGAGAAAAAAGCACAACCATATAGAGAATCTGAGACTAAAGAACACTCAACATGGTCGACACTGAACACCAGGACAAGAGATAAAGGGATCAACATCACTAGATATATACACATGTACAGACAGTTTTTCTTCATCCAAGCGCCAAAAAGAAGCACAAAAAAGAGTCACAGTGCCAAAATCAAAATCTTCCGGCCAGGACGAAGGAAAGACAGACACGCACAATAGGAAACCTAACAACCAACCTTATTGAGGCCTTGAGTAACCGTTGCCAAGATGGGCAGAGAATCAGACAACAATTGCTGTTCAACCTGCAGAACAGCCGACCTGTAAACTGAAAGAACCTCAACAATGCCATTAGCAATGGCCCTCCTGTACACGCTCTGTGTCTCCTTCTTCAGTTTCGATAACTCAGAGGCCCGTGACAAAGGATGCTCATTCGCAGACCTAATCCAACTCAAATTCCGGGATTTTGTTGCAAATCGATCGAGTTCCCTATAGTAAAACCCTAATGTAATCAAAGACTCAATAACATCCCTGCAATCATTGTCCAAACCACAGGAAGTGAGGACATTGGAATACTAACAAGTGACAAAAAATAAAAAATAAATTAGAAAGAAACTATGAATTCAGGATGTTTAGAACCTATCGCTGGGTTCGATGAAAGAGATATCAGGGGCGAGTTTGAAGGTGCGTTGCTCAGAAATGGGTGCGTCGGGAGACAAGTGAATGCCGAGAGATTCTTGGTGCTCTCTTTCGTCGATGATAAGATCTCCGGTGTAACCTAATAACGCCAGTAGTAATTCGTGCAGCATTGTATCATCAATTGCTGCAACTCTCTCTCTCTCTCTCACAATTACACACACTAGTGAGCGTGAGGGAGACCTGAGTTTGCTCCACGATGATGAAATATTGGGCCGGCTGGTTTTTTGGACACTTTTGTTCAAAAAAATAAAGGATAATGACACTCGATTGTTACTTAATTATTCGGATGCTTTAACATTTAAAATATATAGATCTTTACACTCAATCCTCCTAAAATTTATTAACGCATAATACTTAAATTTCTCAAATTTAAAATATTATATTAATATTTTAAAATTTATAACCAAAATTTATATTTTATTATGATATTTATTAAAATAAAAATAAAAATATAAGAAAAAATTATAATTAATATATTATTAAATTACCTCAATTAAAGCTATAAGACATTGTATCCATTAAAATATAAATTTTTGTTGTAAAATTCATATTCTATTATGAATAAATTAGACCCCTTGTTTAATTTTTTTTGTTTTATTCCAATAGAAAATATAATTATATACTAATTATAATTTTTTTTAAAAATATTAAATTTTATTTTTAATTTTATTTCAATAAATAGTACAAGATTAATTTTAACTGCAAAATTTAAAATATTTAATATTGCAAAACTATTAAGACCAAGCAACCCATGTAATACACTTGAGCTTGAATTGCCCACATTGAGGGTTTCTTTGTAAAATACGCAACACTTCCAATTGATTTAGACAATATTAATCCAACTAAATATAACTCATATACGACATAAACCCGAGAAATACAACCCAATTATACACCAAAAGCTCACAGTAAGTGTCAAGTGACATGCCTTGGCACAATGGATGGGCATCACTGGATACAGGACGACTAAAAAGTAGCCATTAGTATGAATAATACAAAATATGGTCACAAGTGCATCTAAAACCACTTGAAACCCTCTCATTCCCCACTACCTTCACCAAACCAAATTGTCTCCAGTTCACTCAAAACTGTCAGTGTCTTGTACAACACCAACCCTAACCCCTTCTGACAAAACAAACTGATTAGGACTCAAAATTTAGGCAATTTTCCCCAGTCTTATTTCACAAAATAGAAATAAATTAAAACTTATATTAGTGACTAGACATAATGGTACATATTACCCCCTTCTTAAAAGAAAAGAGTGGTATCAGTTAGCCTTGATCCCCTTAGTATTCGTCTTTTTAAAACCTTTGCCACTACTTTTACTCTTCTGTCTTTGTTTCTGTCTAGTCTTGTGCTCCTCGGCTCTTTCATGGGTATTCACTTCCTCAAATTTGATTGGCTTTATAATCACACCAGATTTCTTCACGACCTGTTAGATACATGCTTGGAAAGTCAGAAACTTTTATATTAATGTATTTCAGAAACAACAGGAATTTGGTTTCACCAGGAATAAATAATAAAGAAGTTGGTGCTCCAAGGCACGCACCTCTGGACGATTAAGAGCTCCAATTGCTGTTGCAGGGTTGAATTCCGGTCCGATAGGCATTCGAATGCTTTGTTCAAAAACTTCTTTGGATGTGTAAGGATACGGCAATGTTTTAGTATGTAGCTTTTCAGCCTGCAAGATCCAATTAACTATATTAAAACATATTTATATCCAGCCGCAAATTATAAGAGATATTCCATGCATGATTGGTAGGATATCAAAAATATTCCCTCAAACATGTGGAGACTGACGAACAATTGTGATACTGAGATATAATGTGGGTATAAATATGAAAAATAAAAGAGTGACAGAAAGGGGAGATCCTCACGAAAATAATCATAAGCGAGAAAGTTAATGAGGATTCTAAAAACAGGAAAAAATAATGAACGATATCACAAGAGAAAAAAACCAAGGTTTGAAGGCCTAAAATTTGGTTGAATATAATTGACTGGAGAGAGAAAATGATAACTAAACATTGTGCCATTGCTTTTGGAAGGGTCAAAAAGAGGAGGAAAACATTACAACATTAAAAAAACAGTATAAGCTATTTGTCATTGATCATAGGTTTGTATAAGCTGAACTTCAATCGATAATTCAATCATATGATAGAAAAGGTTCCAAGGGCCTCATCTCTAGCACTTTGCCTTTAGGCTTTATATCACCACCCAAGCTTTTTAAGCTTCTCATTCTCCTAAGCTTCCTGGTTATCAATACCTCTTTTTAATATCATTTCATTCAAATGATCAATGTCCTTTAGGATTTGGGTGTTTTATAACAGGGACAAAGGAAAGACAGAAAGTGCCATCCTCAGACTCAAAGTTTAAAATAAAAAAAATAAAGGGAAAATATGATTAATCATGAGAACATTTGGTTGGGAATCTTCCTGGTCTTTGCTTGGGTTTCTCTCTCTCTCTCCCTTTGCAGAACTCTTAGCCTTTTACAGGTTTTCTTGCCTTTACCTGAACAAGAATTCTGTAATTTTGTTTATACGTTATGACTCTAATTTGCCAAAGCCCCATCTCCTTAGTCTGCCACCGTAATCATCACCTTCAGTACATCATCTCTACCACCTACTGATACTTTTTATCTGTATACTGTCTATCTTCATTCAAGTACATATATATTGATAGCTACAAAAGGAGAGGGTTATGGGAAGATCTGAACTAAAACCATCCTATTTGTCAGTTCTTTCCATGTTTCTGATTGCATCGTGGCTTTGAATCCTTTGATGGGTTTAAGAGAGATTGGAAAGAGATGTATGATATATCTGAATTGTGTTGCAGAGTTGCACAGAGAAGAAATTCATGTTTAGATAGAGCCTTTGAGAATCAACCATCATTATCTGTTCACGAGATTTTGCTTTTTCTGAGACTAAATGTCACTGCCACCTGTTCATCTACATATCACCCTCTTGGCTGTATTCAAAGCTGGGATTCTCTAGTTCTGGGTTGTTCTTCTTCCACTTGTTTTGTTTTCTTCTAGGGTCTTAAAAAGGTTATTACAACAAGGGTTTGGTTGTGCAAGAACATAATCAAACAAAGAGATAAGATTAGTGGGTTTGTTTTGTTTTTTCTCTGTTGGAGTCTTCTTCACAGCCAAATGTTTCATGCAGTCATGTCTAACTCAATCTCTTTATCTGAGGAAGCTAGTGTTTCTTCTGGTAAAAAAATTCATGACTTTGGAAGCTTAAATCCAATGGTTCAAATCGTTTCTCCTCAGCAACCACAGATAATTAAAAAGAAGAGAAATCTCCCTGGAAACCCAGGTAAAATTTTTGATCTATAACTACACTAAACAGAATTACCTCAAGTGGAAGCAACTAAGTAAGCTAGTAAATTCCCCCCTTTTTTCCCAAAGTTGGATTGGTTGCATTTGGCATATAACTTCTTAAAGTAAAAGTCAATCTTCATTCAACCACAAGACAGATTTTTCAAAATGTACTTTACAGGAAAGATTTTCAACTAATATAATACGTTTGATAAATATATGTATGAATTATGTATCACGGCAATGTATACACAGAACAAAACAACGACAACAATACCCTTAACATACAACTATATATATATATATAACTGTATCAGAATAATCAGAAATAAATTTTTGTACGTAATTCAAGACGCAGTATACCAGAAAAATACGAAGAATCAGTTCCACTTCCATAATCACTACAAACCCCATACATGCACTCTTTAATTAGAGTTGACTAGCCTTTGAATTGATTAGACTACACCTTCGACCAGTTTTAAAGACTTGTGCCATTCTCCACCCAAAATACATGACAAAATGTAAGCTTAGTTCTTGCATTTTTTCACTCTGAAACCTGGCCAAGTTTGTATGGCTATTGTAGAAGTACCTAACGTGTAGACCTCCCTCTCCAACTAGGAGTTTGTTGACTGTCTATCTCTCTCTTTCCCATCAACTCACTGTTTACTTCCACTTCTTCCAAGACTCCTTTCGGTTTGTTTGCATCACATCATCTCTTAATTTAAAAAAAGAAAAAAGCACGACACCAATTTGAGTCTTTTTAGTTTGATCAAAGTAGGGTGGTCCAATGAAGTACCAGCCAAAATTCTCACCAGAGATTGGAAGTTCGAGTCTTGAAGTCTACATTTACGCTGGTTGATCGCTATGCTAGCTTAACTAGGTTCATTCCCAAGAGGTGCAACGGATGCGGTCAAGTGCCTCATGATCCCACCAATGAGAGCCTATCGGAGTAGTCTCTGGGCACTCTCCTTTGCCCCCACCCCTTCTTTGCTTATCAAAAAAAAAAAAAGAGAGCGCATGTCTCTCAGTTATTAAATTTTTGAATCATTTTCCTACACTTATTCTTGATCCAAACGACCAAAAGTGGTTTTGGACACACACACACACACACACCCATGGCTGATGAATACTCCACACCACTCTCATCCCAAGTTTCTTGCAAAATCCATCTTGACCTCTCAGTTCCTCTCAAAACAACTGGCTCACTCACACTCATCCAAGTTTCTTGCAAAACCAGCTGTGAAATGCCAGGGAGAAAACCAACATCCTATGTGCGATCATGCTGAACACCAAGGTCTGTTTGTATGTAAGATCGGTTTTCCCAAGGAGGCAACACCAAAGGAAATGTGGTTGATGTGGATATTAGGAGATGGCCCACAATTGCTATTAACGTTGGAGGGTGGCGGCGAGGCATCCTTAGAGAAGCTCAATGGCAGAGATAGAGATCCTAGAATGCACTCACATATAAAGAAGATACTGGAGTTCATCTAAAAGAAATGTGAAGGTAGTAAACTCAAACAAATTTATGCATCAAACACTCGTTATCTTAGACAAAAGGTGTACTGCAGAGACTGAATTTAATATATAAATAGAATCTAAACTTTGGGAGAAGTTGTTTTGTGGCCATTTCAAGAAGTTAGCAAAGACAGCTTCTTTGGAATGCACACTCAGGAGATGGGCTTCCAGTGGAAGCTCATTCCTGATATCTCACCAAACGAATCAAACATCTCTAAATGGACTTATAGGACTCAAAAGTCCATCTGAAAGTGTTGCCAAACACACCATTAAGCTCCAGATAAATAAGCTTTCAATATCTAGATTTCACAAATCTTTTTCGAAAGACAACCACAAAAATCTTATCATTTAGTAATCATGTACTTGCTTTTGTGTATTCCAATAATGCATTCCCTTGACAAAAACAAAAAAGGTGACCATGCAGCAATCTGTTGCTAATATTCACCTTGGTTTTTTAGCATTTAAATCTTCCCCATCTCCTATTATATTGAACCATAATCGAAGCAGAGACTAAAGAAATGGGCATTGAATTTCAAAATTAAAACTAACCTTCTTATCAAACTTTTCAGAGATGATCACATGTTTAAGATGTGCATCTTTCCTCTTCTTTAGGGCTTCCTCCCTCTTTTTTTTGGCATTCTCATGCTCATCCAGCATCCAAGAAGGTAAGCCTTTCTTTTTCTGTATATGAGTCCATTGGCCCCAGCCAGGGAGTAACACAGGCTTTTCAGGATCTGGATTTTCCTCATTCAAGACCTCCTCTTTGTCTTTTTCAAAATCTTCCTTGACATCATCACCCGCAAAAGCACGCTGTATAAGTTCTTCTTGGGACGGGAGTTCATAAGTTGACTTTGTGCCAGAGGACAAAACCCCATCTACCATCTGCCCTTCACTATCTGTATCACTTTCCTCATCTTCTTCCTTTATAGATATCAAGAAACAGAAGCAGCACAAAAAAGTAAGGAATCCAATTATTCAATAAAGCAGTGTACATCTAGCACAAGCACATATTTCAAACCTCTATATCTTGGTTATGCAAAGCAGATTCCATAACTTTTGACGAGTTTTTGGCATGGGCAACTTGTTTATTCTCACTGCTGATCTCATCATTGTTTTCTGATAAATTTTTCATCTGTTGCTTGTTCAAACATTGGTTAGAATGAAAAATACAGATTCTTCAGATTGGAGCAAAGAAAATAAAAAAATTGAAGACTTGGCTAAACCTTTTTCCATGAATTGGATGCGAAAATAGCAACTTCATATGTTGTCTTTGGCCCTGGGTCTTTAACAATATCATCAAAACTCTAAAAACCACAAAACATAAACTTTGTTATAGCCAAAGGATAAAAAAAAAAAAAAAAAAAGATCAACTGCTAAAAATGATCACATGAAAAACAGATATTGCATCACCTTAAACACATGATCATGATCAATTTCAGACTGTTCACGAAGTAAATCAGGATCAATGTCAACATCTTTCTGAGAATAATCACTTTTGGCATGCCCAACGTCAACATCTTCTTTGGCATCAAAGTCATCTTCACTATCACTCTTATTATAATAATAATCTGATTCAATCTTTTTACTGGATTCTTGAACCTGCTTTTTAGGAGCACCAAACACCCTTCTACCACTTGAAGTACCTGTCATTAAACTTTCAGCCTCACTCTTATCCTCCAACTGCTTCAATGATGACTCATACTCCTGCAGAACAAGCTTCATTTCCTCATCGGCGGCCTCTTTTCTCTTTTTCAACCCCCGTACCTATGCCAATACAATCAAGTAGCAATAGATAAAATTGAAAAGATAATAACAGTTTCAGACCAAAAGGAAGTTCAGAGACATAAAAAAATGTGCAAAGAGGATTTCTCCCCTCCCAAAAGTGCACCACAGATTACCATGAAAGGTAAAGAAAGCACTCCCGATTTAGGCATTTCATCAGCTTCTTCTAAAACTCCACGTGTCTTCTCTTTTGCTTTCTCTAACAATTTCGAAGCACCAGTCTCGTTTGAACCATCTGAGATTTCATCGTCATCATCTTCGTCGCTGATGTCATCACTGCCACTATTTTCCTTCATAGAATTTATTTTTCTAGTCAAAAGAGCATGTTGATGTAGCTGTTCAGCTACAGCAGCACGAGTTCCTTCATCTTGGACATCCAAACCACGCTTCAATATGCGCTTCGCCCATTTGGAGCTGTTCTTGTGCTTCAGCGTCAAGCGTTCCTGAGTCAAATAAAATAGCAAAAAAAGGGATTCACTTCATTTCATACTCAAGAAAGAACTCTACATAGAACTTTACACTTTACATAACCCACTGTGAATTCTCGCAAGTTACCTCAGCTCTTTTGAACTCTTGCTTCATTGCAAGTTCTTTTGCAGCTTCTGGATCCATTTCCATTGCAGTCACTGCAGCTTTAAACCTATCTTTTTTTAACAATCGATGATATGTTTTGGACTTTATCTTTTTGACACGTTTTGCCTTCATTTCATGACGAAAAAGAAGACTGCGCATTCTAGCAAGACGGTTCTGGTGATCCTTCACATCTTCAATGGATATCTGCCAAGCATCATGCGAAAAAGAGAGAAAAAGTTCACCAAACTATCAAACTACATTCCACTGTGTCAGTGAACTACGTCAGAATTAAGCAATAACAGTGGAAATATTATAACCACAACTCGAATCCTACAACATCAATTAAATGAAAATGTGTAGGAAACCCCATACCTTGTTCAATTCAAGAAGTCTGGCACCATCTTTTAAATGAGCTTCGACAACCTCATTATCATTTACCAAGGTAGCAATTTTCTTCTCTAAATCAGTTCTAGGTTCAAATTCAGATGCTATTGCCCCTACAGTTGAAAATCCCAGATCTATATCTTCATCAAAATAAATGGTAGGTGCCTCTCTATTCCTCTTGACTAATGGTTCCCACTTGGAGATGTCCTTCTTTGATTGTTCATATGCTGCCTTCCTCTCCAATCTCTCTCGATCTGGTTTTGGAAGAGGTGCATGAATGGACATTGACCTTCTCTCCATTCGATGCATGCTCTTCCTAAGTTTGCTGAAGCCAGACTTTCCATGAAGTGGGTCCAGAAGATCTTCAATACTAATGCGGCCATCACCATCTAGAACATCACGACTAGGATTATATTCAGACTCAGGATATGCCTCTGATATGACAACATCATTTTTCCTCTTCTTGCCTGGCATTGAGTAAAAAAATTTGGTCAAGCTTTGTGGGCAACTGGTATACAAAAGACATGGAAGTGTGATCTCTAGTCACCACCAGAACAATTCTTAAGGACTAGCTTTGAAATCAAATATACATCTGAATAAAGTTATAAATTATCAAGACTCATCATATTAAAACTTCCATTAAATTTATTAAAACAAAAAAACGAAAGGAACACAAATGTTCAACTCAGAAAATGGCTTGGGAGCATGAAAGAAATATTGCAATGCATGATTGCTAGACTTTGTATATACGAAAAAAGTGATTATTATCTACTATGGTCGATTGATCGGAAAATTCATGTTGGAGAGAAAATAATACTAATGATTTACTTGTTACAAAGATTAAGATATAGTGACTACTATACTATAATGTTCCAATCCTTGATATACTTTAATACAGGACACTAGCATGTCATTGCCTTATTTGGATCCTACTTTCTAAGACTAGCAGTGTCAATGTCTCCATGCCTTGTTTCATCTATAAACTGTGTCCATGTCTATGCTTCATACACAGCAATTAAAATAAATTGCATATAATAGTTATGTCTCAAACTCCACTGTAGAGCATTTGACCTTCTTCCAAAAGCCACACCAGCTTTCTATATGAATCACTGTAACAGACATGAATACAGGACACTAGCATGTCATTGCCTTATTTGGGTCCTACTTTCTAAGACTAGCAGTGTCAATGTATCCGTGTCTTGTTTCGTCTGTAAACTGTGTCCATGTCTATGCTTCATATGGAGCAATTAAAACAAATTGCCTATAATAAAATGGCAAGATGACTGAAAGGAAAGTGCCATATTTAAACTTAGTGATCAGAAAACACACAAAAGTCTACTAGACAAATTACAGACTCAATGTTACCTTCGAAAGCATCACTGGGCAAGCCAGTGATTTCTTGCAACATCCTTGCATGCCTTCCATCATCCTCCTCTTCAAGGTCCCCTCCTTCATGGTTTTCCCTAGTACCATCAACATCTTCATCTTCATCTTCATTTTCATCGTCCTCATCATCTGATGCTACATTCTCATCCTATTAAAGGAAAACAACAACATTGAACCGCAAGTGTACTCAGACTAACATATTAAGATCACAGGGTAAACATTGACAGTTGCAAATATTGATTAATAATGAATTCTTTATCCACTGCTAACCAAGTCAATCAATCTATTTCACTGGTTTACAAACATAATGTCAATTGACCACTCAACAAAACTCTGGCATTATCAATATTTCTCAATCAAGAAATACCACAAGGTCAGGGTGTTATATTATATGTAGCTTGAAACTATGAACGGGGTACCAACAAATTTGAATAACAATAGTTAAGCATAAGTTTGCTGGGGAAATAGAGAAAGACAATCAAATTTTGACATGGTGGCATCAAAAAAAACAAAGAGCACCACAAAACAACCAGCTCAAGGTGGTACAAAGGTTCCACTTATTGAATTACAATTGAGCATAAGTACATAGCTGGATTCTACAGATGAAAAAGAAATACAGACCTTAAATTTCTCAGGAAGTTCATATTCGAAGTTATCGACATGATCATATCGGCGATTCTTCCTGGATTCTTCCTCTGGAATCGCTTCTTCATATTCATAGACATTGTTGACATCATCAGAATCAATGTCTTCATCACTGTTCAAATAGTCTTGCTCAGAACGATTTATGATACCGAGCTCCTTCATGAATGCATTCGGCAAACGAGGCCCAGTCTTCTTCCCCCTCTCACCTCTCTTGTTGTCCTTTTTTGTGTTTTTTCCTTGACTCGAGGCTTTGGAATTGAACTGCTTTCTCTTCTTGTGCCCTCCCTCTTTCTTGTGTTTATTCCCATCTCTGTCCTTTCTCTTCTCCGTCATCTCTGGGTGGGCGGCGATAGAGAAGCTAAACTAAACCCTGTTACGTTTCCATCCAATGCCAATGATTAGGTTGGGGCACAAACCACCATACCAGTAAAAAACAATAATAATGAACAAACTTTGAAACTGACTTAAATACATCATTAAACCAGCCTGAACATCAACCAGCCAAAAATTTTGGAAAATACAAATAATAATAATTATCTACAAATTATATAACATATTTTATGTCCATCGAGACCCAAAAACCCACCCAATGACAAAACATTCATCAACCCCCCCCCCCCACAAAACATGCAAAATAATACAATCAAAGTAGAATTTAGATACAATAAAGAGAAAGACGAAGCCAAAACCCATTCTTTTCACTTTGGGTGTTAAACTGTGAGTCAATTTTGGTGTGACATGGGTAATGCAGGTGTCGCCGTTGCAAATACGAAGCTACCCGCAACATCAGTATGATCAATCTCTGATCATATCTATATTCGCGTCTCTTCGTGCCGTGATCATGGCTGGCTCAACAGTATATTCAAAAAAGTACGGGTACATATTAAAAAGGCCCCAAATTTTAGAGTTCAATAATAAGATATAGATCAACGATTAAAACTCATTAAAATTTGGCTTAATAAAAAACTCCTGCAACTCTCATCATATGATTTCAATTTCAGAAAAACAAACGGAATTAAGACTCACACATAGACTGTCATACAGAGAAATAGAAAGAACCTGGGATGCGTGTGGCTTGTGGCTTCGAAGAGCAGGCGGCGAGAGAGGCGAGAGTCTCTGAGACTCGAAGAGGAGGAGGCGCTAGGGATCAATCGACTGAGAAGAAGAAGAAGGAGGAGGCGAGAGTCTCTCAGACTCAAGAGGAGGAGTCGCTAGGAATTTAGGATTTTTGTTCACAAATTAACTTGTATATAATTTTTTTTTGGGGTAATCTCAACTTGCACTCGAAAAATCATACCTTCAAAGTTTAAAAATATTAATTTATACCTGAATGATACAAATTCGTATCAATGTGCACCTGAGACTAACTCTGTCCATTTTTTCGTGAAAATAGTTCGGGTTAATTATAAATTATATCTTCCAAGCTTAAATATTTCATATTTACATTTTAAAAATAATTTCTTCTATTAATACTTATTAAATAGCTTTTAATTGTATCGTATCATAACATTTTTGTGTCGTGTCCGAGTCAATAAAAAAAATTTTCAAAATTTTAAAAAGTATATAAAATAACTATTTTTTGTATACAATACTCGTTAAATAATTATTTTCTATCTACAGTTAGACACAAATCTTTTAGTTATTAAAGTTAGATACAAATAACACAACTGTAGAAAAAAATAACTATTTAACAAGTATTAGAGACAAAAAATTGGAATTTTTTAATTTTTAAAAAAATATTAAATAATATTATATGAATTATCATAAATGTGAGACGCAACGCAATTGACACAACACAAAAAAAAAATTGTTAAAAATATTTTTTTTTATTAAATTGAACACGACGCAAAAATGTTATGATACAATATAATGGAGAACTATTTAACAAGAATTAATTGATAAAAAAAATTTTGGACCATTAATGTGAAATATTTAAAATTTGAGGGGAGTAATTTATAATAAATCCTAATTATTTTAATGGCAAAATAGATAGTATTTGGTTTCAGATGCACATTAATACGTATTTATATTTTTTGAAATATAAATTAATATTTTTTAACTTTGAGAGTGTAAATTGAATTTGGTTTAAGTGAAAATGGAGTGAGGAAAGAGAATCATAAAATGTGGCTAAATAAGACATATATTTCTAATAGTAAATATATGATGAATGTATTAGAATTATGACACATGAATAGGGCAAGGTGATTCATGGAATATTTATTATACACTAATGATCTGTTTATCAAACGAGAGAATGCCTAAATTTAGATTTGTATTTAGATTTTTTGTTCTTTTAATGATTCTTTGTCTAGCTAATACATGACGACCTTTGTTTTGCGGGGATTTATGGCTCTGCCATACTTGGGGTTAGCACAGATCATCTAAATTATTTTCATATCTCTCTACTTTATGGGACTTCCCTTGTGTAGGTTATGACTAACATTATTGGAACCACTCTACAATCATCTGGTGGTCTGCATAAACAACCCATTACTCAGTAGGCATTTTTGGTGCAGCTTAAGAAAGTAGAAAAGAATGGTGCTCAACATCTCAAAGGGCAGCCTGTGATTGTTGCCCATGGTGAGAATACATTTTGTTAGAGTATGTGTGACTTTATATATGCTGTGTGCACACAATGGCAAGGAGGCAGATGCTGGAACGGGCGGAGCTCGTGACGGCATCTTGCCTTGCGGGATTGCATAAAGGGGACGCTGATTAGTTAGGGGTGAGGGGGGCAACGCCCGCACTGTACGGTACAGGAGTATTTTTGTAAATATGTCCGTATTAGGGTTATATAAATACTTAAAATGTAACCCTACTTTTAATAATGAAAAAGAAACGGCCGCTCGCTCTCGTGGATGTAGGCACATTGCCGAACCACGTAAATCTCTGTGTGTTATTTTCTCTTGCTTTCTTAATTGTTTGATTCTTTATTATTCACCATAATTGTTGCACGATCACAACAACTGGTATCAAAGCTAGACTACGATGTCTGGGATTTCTTCTACAAAATTAGACATCATAAAGTTCGACGGAACTGGAAATTTCGGATTATGGCAGAGGAGGGTGAAGGACCTGTTAGTGCAGCAGGGCATAATGAAGGCGTTATACGGAAAACAACCGACAAGAATGGACGACATGGATTGGAAAGAATTGGAAGCGAAGGCTGTGGCGACTATTAGGCTTTGTCTGGCTGATGAAGTGATGTATCACGTCATGGATGAGGAATCACTGGCGGAAGTTTGATTGAAACTGAAAAGTCGGTATATGTCCAAATCCTTGACGAACAAGCTCTATCTTAAGCAGAAACTATATGGTCTTAAGATGTCAGAGGGCTCGAATTTGACCCAACACATCAACGTGTTCAATCAGATCATCAACGATCTGAAGCGAGTTGATGTGAAGTTCGAAGACGAAGACAAGACGCTGATGTTGCTGAATTCCCTACCGGCGTCTCCTACGTACGAGAATTTGGTTACGACTCTGATGTGAGGGAAAGAAACCCTCGAGTTGGAGGATGTCACAGGTGCTCTGTTAGGTTTTCATCAGCGGAAGAAAGCCAGTGATGAGGCTTCACAAGGTGAAGGGCTTGTGGTGAAAGGTAACCAGGAACGTGGAAGAAGCAAATCTCGGAATGGATCAGGTAACAATAAAGCCCGGTCCAAGTCGAGGAAGAAGAAGAAGGACGTCTCCGTCTCGTGTTACAAGTGTGGAAAAAAGGGGCACTTTAAAGGGGAATGTCCAAAGAAAAAGAAAGGGGATTCAGAGGACAAAGAGGGTGCATCAAAATCTGCAAACGTAGTGGAAGAAGAAGATTCAGAGAGTGGTGACAGTGATATGCTTTCTGTTTTATCTAGTTCAGATCGTTTGACAGATTCTTGGATTATGGATTCAGCAAGTTCCTATCACATGACACCCAACAAAGATTGGTTTGACACCTACAGGTCGATAAATTCTGGTTCTGTTCTGATGGGTAATGATGCATCTTGCAAAGTTGTTGGAATAGGAAATATTAGAATTAAGATGTTTGATGGTATGGTTAGAACGTTGTGTGATGTTAGACATGTACCGGATCTAAGGAAGAATTTGATTTTATTGGACATTTTGGATTGTAATGGTTATAGTTATAAATCTATAAGTGGAGTAATGAAAGTGAGTAAAGGCATGCTGACAGTGATGAAGGGACAGAAAATAGTAGGAAACATTTACAGACTGCTGGGTACTACAATTGTAGATGGAGTTGTTGTTGTAGAGTCTGAATCAGATAATACAGTCTTGTGGCACATGCGGTTGGGTCATATGAGTAAGCGTGGGATGATAGAGCTTCATAAGAAAAATCTATTGAAGGGTGTTAAGACATGCAAACTCAATTTTTGCAAATATTGTATTCTTGAAAAACAAAATAGGGTGCAGTTCAAGACAGCCACACACAAGACAGAGGGGGTTTTCGACTATGTCCATACAGATGTTTGGGGACCAGTTATCGTAGTATCACGGGGAGGATACATGTATTCCGTGAGTTTCATTGATGATGACTCACGAAAGGTCTGGATGTACTTCATACGACACAAGTCTGAAGCGTTTGCCTAGTTCAAGCTGTGGAAAGCTGAAGTAGAGAACCAGACAGAGAGGAAGATTAAATGCCTCAGGTCAGATAATGGTACTGAGTACACAGATTCAAAGTTCCAGGAGTTGTGTGAGCAGCATGGGATCAAGAGACACTTCACAGTCCGCAATACACTACAACAAAATGGTGTAGCGGAAAGGATGAACAGAACGATAACCGAGAAAGCTCGGTGTCTCAGGTTGAATGCAGGGCTTACAAAGAATTTCTTGGCAGAGGCAATAAATATGGCATGTTTATTGATTAACAGATCACCGATGGCAGCACTAGATGAGAAAGTATCAGAGGAGGTGTGGACAGGCAGTGAGGTAGACTACTCTGGTTTGAGAGTGTTTGAATGTCCAGCCTATATACATGTTTCTAGTGAGGAGAGGTCGAAGTTTGATGCGAAATCTAGATAGTGTATCTTTCTGGGATATCAGAAAGGAGTGAAAGGCTTCAAGCTCTGGGATCCGAAGGCAAACAAGATGGTGATCAGTAGAGATGTGATTTTTGATGAAAAAGTCATGTTGTAGCGTACTCAGAAAGAAGAGAAACAAGTACCAAAAAACTGTAGCACTAATGAGCATGTGGTGTAGATGGAGCTAGAGAATCATGGTAGAGAAGAAGATGCTCAACATGTATAGCGTTTTATCTCAAGTGATCGGCAGTATCATAGTATAGCCACAGACAGGCCCAAATGCAATATCAAGCCGCTTACCAGGTATGATTTTGAAGATTTGGTTTTTTATGCGCTTATTACTAGTAGCGGGGATCCTACAACTTTTCAGGAGGCAGTACAAAGCCAAGAGAAAAGTAGATGGATGGGTGCTATGGTGGAGGAGATGGATGAGTGCTATGGTGGAGGATATGGAGTCTCTGCATAAGAACCAGACGTGGGAGTTGGTGGAGCTTCCCGAGGGAAAGAGAGCAATAGGGTGCAAATGAGTGTATAAGAAGAAAGAAGCAGTATTAGAAAAGGAGGGAGAAAAATTCAAGGCTCATCTAGTAGCAAAAGGTTACTCACAGAGAAAAGGGGTTGACTATGATGAGATATTCTCCCCCGTGGTCAGACACACTTCCATCAGGACAGTGTTGGCACTAGTAGCACATTCAGATATGCAGTTGGAGCAGATGGATGTCAAGACAACTTTCCTTCATGGCGACTTGGAGGAACGGATTTACATGGTACAGCCAGAAGGGTTCAATCTCCTCGAAGAGGAACATTTTGTCTGTAATTTGAAGAAATCACTTTATAGGCTGAAGCAGTCTCCGAGGCAGTGGTACAAGCGATTTGACTCTTACATGATCCGAATTGGCTACAAAAGGTGTGAGTATGATTGTTGTGTCTATGTAAAAAGGCTTGATGATGATTCATTTATTTTTCTGTTACTTTATGTGGATGATATGTTAATTGCTACCAAGAGTATGAGTGAGGTCAACAAGTTGAAGACTTTGTTGAGTAGAGAATTTGACATGAAGGATTTGGGTGCGGCCAAGAAGATTCTTGAGATGGAGATTCGCAGGGACAGAGCTTCCAAGAGATTATGGCTATCTCAGCATAGCCATGTTGAGAAGGTGTTGGACAGGTTCAGCATGAGTTATGCAAAACCAGTAAGTACACCTTTAGCGAATCATTTCAGATTGTCTACCGCTCAGTGCCCGAAGACATACGATGAAGTTCATGACATGTCAAAGGTCCCATATGCTAGTGCAGTGGGTGTTTGATGTATGCTATGGTTTGTACAAGACCAGATTTGGCACAAGCTGTCAGCGTGGTTAGCAAGTTTCTTTCAAATCCGGGTCGATAGCATTGGGATGCAGTCAAGTGGATTTTCAGATACTTGAGGGGCACTACAGACTATGACATCATGTTTAGCAGACAACAGAGTGACCCTTCAGTTGTGGGATATGTGGATGCAGACTATGCAGGGGACTTGGATGACAGGAGGTCTACCACAGGTTATGTGTTTACTCTTGTGGGAGGACCTATTTGTTGGAAGTCCATGGTACAACCTATAGTTGCACTATCTACTACTGAGTCAGAGTATATGGCAGTAGCTGAGGCTGCCAAGGAGGCTTTGTGGCTTACAGGTTTAGTCAAGGAGCTGAGTGCCCAGTAAGGTGGAGTTCAGTTGCATTGTGACAGTCAGAGTGCCATTTATTTGGTAAAGAATCAGGTGTATCATGCGAGGACCAAGCATATAGATATGAGGTTTCATAAGATCAGAGAACTGGTTTCTTCTGGTGAACTATTACTTGAGAAAGTTCACACTTCTGAGAATGCAGCAGACATGTTGACAAAGCCTGTTACTACAGACAAGTTCAAGCATTGCTTGGATTTGATTAATGTTTCTAGTTGCTAGATGGGAGATGCCTCAACTTAGCGTCCCCGGTGGAGTTCCAGAATACATGTCCTCTTTTTCTCCTAAGGGGTGAATATTTGCCAAGGTGGATATTGTTAGAGTATGTGTGACTTATATTTGCTGTGTGTACAATGGTAAGGAGGCAGATGCTGGAGCGAGATTTGTATAAAGGGGACGCTGATTAGTTGGGGGTGCGGGGGCAACGCCCCTGCGGTACGGTACATGGGTATTTTTATAAATACGTCCGTATTAGGGTTATATAATACTTAAAATGTAACCCTACTTTTAATAATGAAAAAGAACGGCCGCTCGCTCTCGTGGATGTAGGCACATTGCCGAACCACGTAAATCTCTGTGTGTTATTTTCTTTTGCTTTCTTAATTGTTTGATTTCTTATTATTCACCATAATTGTTGCACGATCACAACACCTTTGAATTGGAAGCGACATTGAGACACTATTGTCTAATAAGTTCAAATTAGACAAGGTAACTATTGTGGCCTATGTTTCTTCTGTTGATAGTTACTTGAGGCTATCACTGTCTGGTAATGACCTGCTTGTTATGAGTTTTGGTTGTGGTTTCTTATTCTCTTGGTCTGTTTCTTAGTTTTTACTAAAATTGGTCTAATATAAGTAAGTTTGTTCAGCTTGATTCTTAGATAATTACTTACTGGAACTGTCATTACCCTATATCTTTTGATACTGATACTAGATGCTACTTTAAAGATGCACTAAAGATCGCAATGGAAAAATGTCAAAGAAATAACTATGGGTGGCACCTGATTTAGTCGTCCCATCAGCTAGCTTACCTCCATTAGGTGCAGTTTATCAAGTAGTTAGAATAAAATTAAATTAATTTTTTCCATTCGAGTCTGATTGGCCTTGATCCATCACTTTGCAAAAGCTATAAATATATATATATATTTTTTTTTGGCACTTTAGTTTATTTGTTCAAACAAAGGTGCATGCCAATTCTTTTGGAAAACACATTCATCATATGTTATTCATATAGATTTAGTCATGTTGACATCTAATGCTAATAGGAGAGAGGACGAAGAATCCACAAAAGAGGTGGTCTGGAATTGCACCGGTTAGTAGGTTTGATCAAAGTTCATGAGCAAATTATTTGAATTGCAAAAGCTAAATTTGGGAACATCCAATTGTTACACATAGGATTTGACTTTGTCGAGATTTTTTGTTTCATTAATCTCAAAAAGCACTTGGTGTATTTTCATCCAAATTTTATTTCTCATTTCTTGACGTATAGTTTTTTCCTGCAAAACTCATCACCGATGAAGCTTTCGATCAAAATATGTTGTTGTATCAAACTTCATGATTGTCCCTTGTGTGTAACTTTGAGGCCTTCTGTTGATTTGTTATTTTGGTTTCTGTTCGGAAAACGTCTATCGTCGATGATTTCTGTAATCCGGTGAACAGTGTTGGTGCAAATTTTGAAAATTGTCTTTCATGAGTATTCTTAACGTGAGAAACCTGAGGTACAACGATTTAATTATGGAATGAGAGCCAACTGAATTGGTCTAAAAAAAGTGATAATATGGCACTGATATTTAAATTGTCTATGTCGGTTTTTTGAAGGGAAGTTAGCAATGTCATCATTGGGATGTATTTGAGGCATAATGTGTAAATATGTACATATCAAATTTTTGTGTAATGTTATGTTGCAGTGAGTACTCGATGTAGCTGAATGCTTCTGACATCAAAGTTCTTTAACAAATTTTGTTGTTCAGGTATGAAAGAAATACTTAATAATGTTAGCCTTTTATTGTATGATTTCCTCCATCAGAGAACTCGCCTTAAAACTGTCACTTATTCCACTGAGAAATTGATGTCATTTTGTTGAACTGTTGTTGATCATGTAAAGTGACAACTTCATTAGACCCTTTTATGAATGGTTTTCTGAGATTGCGAAGTCAGTATTTTGTTTCATAAGATAACAATCCGTGGAAAAGAAAAAAGAAAAAACGAGCAATTAGTTGTCATCGAGGAAAATGTATCACAACTGGGAACTTTAATATAATTTTGACATTATATAGCTTTTAGTTTGTAAAGAACTGTCTAGAGTTACTAAGAGAAAGATTTAAATGGTTTTGTTGATAGAGGAAACAACTAACTATAAAAAAGTATGGCCCCGGTTGGTTTGAGTTTCAAAAAATTATATCTGAAAATAATTTTTGAGATAAATTTTAAGAAAGTGTATTTGATGTTTTATGAGATGAAAAATTTATTTGGTTAGATGATTTTAAAAATAATTTTACAAAATAGAAAATAGTAAAATCTGTTTGGACAGTTAAAATATATATTGGAACAATAATTCAAAAATTAATAAAAGAATATAAGAAAGTTATTTTTAAATTAACAATTTCATACAAAAAATACAATAAACTAAACTTTAAAATAAACCAATCATATTCAATAATCTTCATCAAAAATAAAATCAATATAAAAGAATATATCAATGACCTTCATCTAAAAAAATATATCAATCACCTTTTTATACAATATACACACACACACACAGAGTTACACAATACACAAACATCGCCAATATACACACACATGCATATATATATAGACACACACACAATTACACAATACACACACATTATCAGGAAACACACCCATCACACACACACACCGCCCAGATCTAAAGAAGAACAACACAAATTTGAAGGAGATCAACCCAAATCAATGTTGGAGCCGACGCTTGAGATCGCTGGAGAGAGAGAGAGAGAGAGAGAGAGAGAGAGAGAGAGAGAGAGAGAGAGAGAGAGAGAGAGAGAGAGAGAAATGCTTGAGATCGTTCGTCTGGTTTGCCGAAGTAGAGAGAGAGGCTTGAGCAAGGAAAAAAAAGGAGAAAGACAATAGTCTTTTTGCTGTTAAGGAAATTCGAAGGCTCATTAAGAAGAAAGAGATCTCCGTGTTTTGCCTTTTTCTCTTCTTTTGTCTCCAAACCAACTGAAAACAAGCAGGCCTTGTTTTCAATTTTTATGCTTCACTTCTCTCTTTTTTATGAAAATTGAAGAACAAAAAATCAAAGCAAACAACTTTTCATTGTTTTTAGAATTTTGAGAACAAAAAATAATTTTTGAAAATTAAATCAAACATGCCCTATGTTTCCATTGTAGGCCATACTCACCTATCTGAATATTGGTGGATTTATGAGAGTAGTGTTTCTTTTATAAAATTTGACACCCATTGCATTGTTGCAGCCATGGGAGGGAGGTCTGATCTTCGATATGAGCATTTTAGGTCAAAAAATTTGCATACACTTTAATATTTTTCTTGTATTATATACTAGATTCTAAAATACCTGTGTGTTTATATAGCCAACTCTACCCACAAAGAGTAAATCTTGGTTCCATTCGAATGTGCGAAGGGACATGCACATGCATATGATTGCGCACGCACTTCTTATTTCTGTTTCATTCAGGCTGTTGGGGGTATGAAATGGATTAATTTTTGTTGTAAAGTTTGGAGTTACTTGCATGGATCCTTTGGTAAAAGAAATCTTTCTTTTTCCATACACTTCTGTTTATGATCGAAGATGACAAGCTTAATATTGGTTGAAACAATGTATACTGTAAGTTCAATAATCCAAGGCAAACAAAGATTACATCGTTGCTATATTTTGTGTGGCTGCTCTTTTAGCATCCTTGATAGCTTTGACCGTAATCAAAAAGCTTGAAAGGAAACTATGTTTTTTTTTTGGAGGACTTATTTCCCTTTCTTCCTTCCTTTCCTTGTTACACTGGTGCAATCCTCAATAGCTTTGCTGAAAACGTAACGATGATTTGACGGAAAAAAATTATGTTTGCTATTCTTCTATTCCTACACTCTAACCGCTAGGCTAAAGAAGCATATTGACTAAACACTCAATCTGCTCATAGTTTAAGACAAAAAGTGTCAAGGATATAAATGACTAATTTGCTAGCACTACAAACAATAAGAAGCTAAAGAATAAAAAGCTGAGAAAGATAAGAATTACATTAACACTTTTGATTCTGATGTAGATGTTTTTATGGAGTATAGTGCTGACTATTAAATAAACTTCATAAATATAAGAAGTCCCAAGACTCTATTTTTAAAAGATATATAATTTAGAATCTCTCTAATGTCTTGGCAAATTATACAACTAGGGATAACCCGTGCCTGAAGGCATAGTTCAATTTATAAAAAAATCGAGCATTGAATTTGAGCATGAAATAATCAAGTATTGAACTTAGATGTGTACTAAGTTGAAAGCCTAAACTATTCCTATAATCCGTGCATGAAATTGTGCAATTTAAAATATAAAAATATAAAAATAAAAAAATAACATTGTTCTTGAACACGAAATAATGAAACACTAAACATAGACACGCACAAAATAATCAAACACTGAATATTGATCGTGAACATGAAATAATCCAACATTAAACTTGGACTCACACTAAAATGCAGCTTTTAATACATCTACATTTTATATAAATGGTTAACAAAGTATTACGTAGATGAAAAATGAAAATTCTAATAATAACCGGTGCCTAAAGGCACGGTGTACCTTAAAAATCAAGCACTCAAAGAATCGAGCTCACTATATTAATTCGTAACAACCACTTTATTTTAAAAAAATGGACAAAACTCAAAACTGAAGACATTATACAACATAAAATCGAACACTAACCATATAATACAAAAACTTTCAATAACATACAAATATTTTAAGTAACAATTTAATTTCATTTATTTTTTAATTATGCCATTTTAAATCAATCTACACCTATAATCAATATTAAAAAAATTTGACAAAGTTAAATTTAAAAATATAACAGAACAAAATATCAACTTGTATACATAATTTATTGAATGACTAATAATTGGTACAAATCTACTTATTATAATGAAAAACATATGAATTTAAAGAAAACATGATCCAATTCATCTATCGGATTTAATATTAAGCCTCAATTTTGCCTTAACAAAATCATTCATCAACTACAGCAACAGAAAAAGCTGGTTTTATGAGCAATACAATTAGAACACAACATTAAATGCATTTTGTGCTTACATATTTTGGAAGGTTCATTTTGCACTTGAACATTTTGGCTTGGTTTGTAAATTTCCTAGCAGACTAGTAGTGGTATGATTAATCTAAGGCTCTACATTACCTTTACTAAATTATCATTGAACTAAATTTCTTTCTTTGTAACCTGAATGTTGTATTGCTGAACCATTTCATTTTTAGGTTGCGCTGGGTGACATGGCCGAGTTGTTGACTGACTGCAGACTATAACGCTGACAAGTTGCCTGAAGGGAAGTTAAGGAAGTTAAGGTTCATTCTTTTTCACGCTCATTTGTACTTACATTTTGTTTTATTTTTTTCTCTCTTTGCTACAGTGAAGTGTGAAACTGGAAATAAGCATATTCGACTTAGAACTTAAAATCGAAGATTAGGTATTGATTGCTTTGGAGTTTGATATG